CAGAGTAATCAGTGCAGTAGCAGCAAGCAGCCACTTTATGGACTTTGTTATGAGAAAGTACTTACAAGAATATGAACCACAAAGAAAAAAAAAACCCTCAATAAATAGGAAAGGTCTGGAGAGCCTTAAGGAGGAGAGAGAAGTGATTCTCACAAATTAGAACTAAAGAATGGCCTGGGTTGGAGGGGATCTTAAAGATTATCTGTTTCCAACCCCTGCCACGGGCAGGGACACTTTCCACTAGGCAAGGTTGCTCAGAGCTCCATCCAACCAGGCCCTAAACACTTCCAGGGATGGGACCTGTGTCAGTGCATCATCTTCACAGCTTTAGGAATGTCTTCCTAATATCTGATCTAAACCTGCTCTGTGAGTGTGAATCCATTCCCTCTTGTCCTGTCACTCTGGGGTAGTCTCTCTCCATCTGTCCTGTAGGCTCACTTCAGGTATTGGAAGGACACAGTTAGGTCACCCTGAAGCCTTCTTTTCTACAGGTTGAACAATCACAATTCTCTCAAGATATAGGGATATGGAGTCTGAAAGGCTTGCAAGTTGGTGAGAACTGGACTCAGCTGTCAGCTGCTCATGTTTTTGCAATATGGAGTTTTGGACAATAATATTCAATCAGAGGCATGCAAGAGTATTAAATCACTAATTTGTGCAATATTTAGGAGTACTTTTACTTTGAACCTTAGCATTTCAAATATTGATAACTAGTAAATTTCAAATTCTTCATTATATTGGAGGAAACATGGCAATGCAGGCAGGTATGACCATATATTCCATAGCTCTGTGTTTTTCCTTGATTTGAGTTAACATGTATGTTAACCCTAATAATACTCAATGTACCCCACTAAAACTGGCGCTATATACCTTAAACCATCGAAATAGTTTATAAAGTGAAGAATATAAATCTAATTTGTCATGTTGGCAGAGGAAAACTATTCCAAATAATATACTTTATGCCATAGAACTCTATTTTTGCTTTTTGTTATTAGAACAGTAATGTTATATTCACTATTTATGATTACTCTCTGCTTGTTACACAAAATGAAGCTAGATTTAGTCTTATCTTTGTGGCTTTAAAGAAAAAAGGAAATAAATAAAGACCAAACTGAAGTACATAAAAGACCCCAAATGACTAAATGAGGAAAATGGGTGTTGTGCTGTGCTAATGTGTATAAGTTTTCAAATTATACAAGATCATGTTTAAGCTAAATGCTAGTACCTAAAGGAGTTTGTTTAGGAGCTTTATAGGAATGCATGCTTTTCTTTTTTCTTTCCGAGAGTTGCTTTTCAAGCTCTCCTAGTAATTCAGTTTTTGGGTTTCCTTCTGTTTAGTCTTCTCTCTGTCCTTCCAAGCTTAACCTTTGCAAATTCAGTGGGAATCTGTCTGTGTTCATGGTCTTATGAACTTCAGGTTTTCATGCTAACTTGTATAAAGGTGACGCATATTAAAAATGCATAGTTCTTGTGGTCTTTTCTTGCCTTTTTCTTGGGTTTTTTTTTTGTGGTTTTTTTTTTTTTTTTTTTTTTTTTTTTTTTTTTTTTTTTTTTTTTTTTTTTTTTTTTTTTTTTTTTTTTTTTTTTTGTTCTCAGTGCTGGAAACAAATACAAAATTGGTAGTCAAAGAGAACCAAATGTTTTCATCAATCTGTTAGTGAAACAGCTGGGTTAGGCCCTGATGCTTACAAACTTGCAAGATTCCACCCAAGAGCCAGTCTGAAGCTCTCTGCAGCAGCTTGTTGGGTCATCTTGTATCTAGACTCAGAAGTGTTTTCCTACTCTCTAAGTGTTATTTGTGTCACTAACTTTATTAATTTAGGACTCTGCTGGTGGCTTTTAATTACCTGTGTTGCATGCCAGGCATTTATAGATTTAATATACTGAGTAATTTGCAGCACTAATGTAGCATCACCCTTCTTGAATGTTAAGAATTAATTCTTTACTCCGTCAACCTAAATTTTGGCGAGGTTCTTATGTTTGATAATCCTAGACTTTAAGGGGGGGAAAAAGGGATAAGCAGACTGTTTTAAGGGAAACCCAGGCAACCTGTATTCAGAAATTGTGTTTGAACTCAAAGTAAACATTACTCATGAAAGTGAATGTTTTAGTATCTTACAGTATGGAAGCTACAACTCTACCTAGTTCTCTCTGGTATGACTGACAATACATCATAACCACCTATAGCAGGGGAAAGCCACAACATCTTGTATTAATTTTTCAGTATTGTTAGTGTGAATGCTTTAAAATGAGACTGGATTTCTGTTCTTGTTTATTCTCATTTACTTTTACTGTCTTGTTCACCCCCAAAAACTGACAGAATATGAAGCAGTATTGTAAAAATCTGTTTATGTTTGTGACAATTTGAATTGGTATAACTTAGTTTGGCTCAATCAAGTTTCTAGATGACAGCTTTTAAATCATTTAAATTCATTGGGGAAAAAAGCCCCACAAACCCATCTTGTAGTGAGGTTTTCTTTCATGCCTGAGTTTTGCATACTTTAGTCAATTTTAAAGGTATTTAATCAAGGACAGTAGATGTGAAGTATCCACCTTTTTAGATGCAGCCTGTTTTCTTGCACTGGGGCTCCCACACCTTCAGTGTAGCTGAAACCAAGTGGGTAAGAGGTGAGGTGATGCTCCATGCAGTGTGTTTGGAAAGCAGATGTGTTTGGCTTTAGGCTAGGGCCAGTGTGTGGCACTTGGGCCAGGGACAGTCTCTGCTTTGTCTCTTGGTGGCTGCAGAAGAACAGCTTCTGCCTCATGGGCCACTTACCCTGGGCACAGGGAGCCTGGACAAAGCTGGCTCAGAGAACTAGAAAGTGTTTTGCCTCACCCCTTTGTGGCCTCTGGGGTGGTTGGCCTTGGGAGGTCTCTGCTGGGTTTAGGTGAGCTCCTTTTTATCTCCTTAGCTCAGGAAGAACTGCAGGTTCCTCACTGAGATACTTCAGACACTAAAACAGTTGGTTTCAGGCACTTGTTTACACTTACAGTGTGGAATGATCTTTTTTAAATGAAGGTAGAAGTTTCCTTAAGTTGATTTAGCTCACTATAGGAGTGCTACAGCATGACACTGTCCTGTGTGCATCAGTGGTGTTGGCAGCAGATAAACTGAGGGTTCTGCTGCATCTCACAACAACCACGCACATTGCAAGCTTTTCTGGCAAGTTTAACAACTAAACATCTTGCATAAGAAATTTTGAATAGTACAACATTGAAGAAGAAAAGAGCAAATTAAAAAGAGCAAAAATGCTGAACTTGAGTACAGTTTTCTGTACATAATTTGTGTGTTTGTATTATGAAATTGGCCTGTTCAGCTGCTTGGCACTTTGATGGCATTTGGATTAGTTATGGAGAGAATTCAGCCTTTGGACATTGTATTTCAGCAGCTGGTTTATTTTGTACATAAAACATTGCTATGTTTTGCGTGCTAAAGAGCCCACCAGTGGAATGCTGTTACATCATGAGACATAACTTCAATTAGTATCAGCTTCTAGAATGACACTTGAATTAAATATTAACATTTTCTGTGCTTTGAGTAAGTAAACAAAGGACTCTGTTTTAATCTCCCTTCTCTACAAGGTTGGGTAAAAGGGGAACATGTATTTTGAACACCAGAATAAGAAAAAAGTTTGACTACTCGGCTGTCTACTTTGATTCAGCAGGGTCAGAGAGATCTTTTGTTGGCTGATGTTTTTGATACTTTTTAAATCTAAAAAGAAGTGTGACAATGGTAACCTCTTTGTTTTGTTGGGGATACTGTATACCATGGGGTATGGAAAAAGGTTAGAGTCTGTATAGGCTCTTTCACAAGGAGAATCAGGAACATGGAGATATTTCAGACCCTTTTTTTTTCCTACCAATATGTTCTAAATTACTGGAATAAGTGCAGAGCCTCTTCACAATTTGCATTTCACTTATTTGGCACTGTGGTGTTGAAAACCTATTAAATTGATGCGATCTGTGACTTAAGTCTTTACATGGGTAGGACAAGTTCTGGGATCAAAGTCTATTGCTGGGGTAGGCAAACTCTGCCTTTCCAAAACAAGTAGTTAAGATATGTGATAGAGTGGGAGGAGAGTTAATTATAGATTGTAAACACAAGAAAGTACAAATAGGAAGGCAGATTTTTTCTGTACTTCTCTGATGAGCATGTTTAAGGTACTTCAGACCTTTCCTCCTGCTGTGTCTTCATCAAAATTCTCTTCTGTAATGAAGTGATTTTTAGTTAAGATGATTTTTGTCTGTGCAGAAAAGCAGCGATGCAGTTCCACAAGTTCTGAGGCCTCCAGTTCTCAGCCCAATGTGTCGGACTTTTACTGTTTGCAGCCCAGAGTCATCTTGCTCTTGTACTCTCTTGGCTCCAGGCTCTGTGTTACACTGTGGAGTTCTTTGTGGGTGCCTGCAGACACCTGTTTTCCTGTCCTAGACAGACAGACACCTGTCTATTCATGTGTCCATAAAATGGGAATGTTACCAGTCCCTTACCTGCAAAGTTGTATAACCCAATTTCCTTACTCTAATGTGCATGCCTCAGATCTTGTGGGAATGGGAAGAGTGGACAGAATGCAAAATGTTCAGCTAATGCAAGTGGAATTAGGTTGCACATGCAGAGATGTACTCTCTGTACACTGAGAAGTAGATGATAGAGGGGCTACAAGATAAATTTTAGATGGCTAAACAGTGTTTATGTCATTTTGAAAACTGACAGTTATACAATTCATAAAATTCTTGTTGTAAAATGTAATTTGCCTATTATGTAAAATTATTGTTCCTTTTATGTGATTAAGTGCAGAGATTTTTTTTTTTTTTTTACACTGTTTTCTTGGCAAAAGTAATTGTCTTCTGGTGGAAATATGTTTAGCAATGCTCTGCCTTCTGAAACAACACTTAACATTGCATATGTTTGACACTTCATTTGTTTTGTTAAGGCTTATTTGGAAGAGTTTTGTATTGTTTGTAGAAGTGCTTTAAGGTTTTCTTAATTTTTTTCTTTTCAGTCATTATTTAACCTACTGGAGTTTCGAAGACTAGTTTTGAATTTCAATCCTCCTGCAAATGCTCAAGATTTACCCCGAAACCAAAAGGTAAAAGAAGAAGCTGATTTCCTCTCATGGCTGATGAGGGCATTTCTGTCTTGTACTTGAATTTTACACTGTTCTTTAGCTCATATCAGCGTGGGTTTTTAGAGGTGCCAGTTAACAGTTCTCTGAGCTTCCTGTTGTGGATCTTACATAAATGGCATCAGCCTCACAGCAGAGTATGGGACAGGGTGCTGAGAGAGGCAGAGAATTTCTCATGTGAGTGTAGCTTGTCTTAGCAAATGTGTTTTGTTCCAGTTCCCTCCCACTCATGATCTGACATTGAGCTTTCATTTATTAGCTTGTCTCTTCTGGCTTTCTCAGGCAGTGATTATAAGTATAAATTTTCTCATGATTACGCTAGTACTCATATAGGATTAGGGAGGAGAAGGCCTTGGCTTAGGTTTCTTGTAGATTCAGACTGGCAAGAGGGAATGGTCATGGAGTGGGGAACAAAGGTCAGGTTTTCTTCCTTCATGGGCCTCCTTTGAGGACAGATGCAATGGGGGCCCTGTGGTTTCTGTGCTATGAAATGGGAAAGAAGAAATGGAGGAGGAGGTGACTTTATAGAGACACTTGGTTGCCTGATTTTTAGCAGGGACTTATAGAGCAATTAATTTCTGCATATCCAGAAATCGGAATCATAGAATGATTTAGGCTGGAAAGAACCTTAAAGATTAACTATTTTCAACCCCTATCCCATGGACAGGTGTACCTTGCACTAGATCTGGTTGCTCAGAGCTCCATCCAAGCTGGCCTTGAACATTCCCAAGGATGGGGCACCCACAGCTTCTCTGGACAATCTGTGCCAGTGCCTCACCTCCCTCACAGTAAATTATACTAGGGCCTGTTGCCCCTTTCTGTCAGATTTAAAGAAGCGAGTGTGTTGTCAGTCTGTTCCTAGTTGTTTGTCCCTTCAGGATTCTCTGGAATGTTCACTATCAAAAGTAAGAGCTGTAATTAGAGAAGCAGAAGAAAACAGGCAAAGAGAAGACAGTGTCCATTTTCTAAACCTCTGGGTATGTTCCATAAAAGGGAAGTTGAATGTTCAGTCAAGCCTGGATAATTTCTCTCCTGCCCTACCCCCTTCTTTCCTCACCACATTCAAAGTGCAAGAGGTCACTTTTTTTGGTTGGAAAGCATATTTGCATTAGGTCATGAGATGGTGTGAAAAGAAAAACATGGGTAGTGTTCCCAACACAAGGTAGGGATGGGGCAGTGTATTTTAATAAGAAAGGTAAGTCATGCTTTACAAATAGTTGTATTAAATTTTTTAAATTTTCATTTTTAAATTGACTTTCTGCTCAGTATTTATCATCATGTAATTTTAGTCATATCCTTCAGTACTCAGAAATTCTATGTTCATTTTTCAGCATGTAAAAAGCAATTGGCATCTAAAAAGTAGTCTGAAATAGCTGTTGTCTTCATAAACATCTTGCTCAAGCATTGACACTTGCAGCCAAATGACTTTAGCCATTCCAAAGTGCTTTACTTTAGAAATTCTGACCATGACAGACAATAAGTTGGTGTGAAATGGTGTAACACCAGACAAGTGCATGGATTTGGACAGAAACTTTGCTTTCTGCAGGCCTGCTAGAAAGAATCTCTGGCAGTAGTTTGTGCTCTTTCCTAACTTACATTCTGGAATGACGTAACATTATTACTTGGTGTACTCATCTATCTTATCTACAGCTGAAAAAGGATTGAAGAGAATTTAGGATAAGGGATCGCTGCACTAGTTGGAATTTAGATGGATAGGAGAAGACATAAGCATGCATGCCCCCATATATGGTGTCTTTATTTCTTTGTAAGTGAAGGCAATTAGAGGCAAATTGATTCAGAGTTGTAATATAAGTTACCAGTTGATAGTAGAAAAAAAAGTAAAGCCTTGGAATTTACTTCCGACTGCTTACTTATTTTAAAACTATTTTGCTTCAGTTTTGGTTTTGTTTTTATTTTTGTTCTGATATTAACTACCATATGTGACTGACATTCTTCAGGATCAAATTTCTTTGCTAATAAAGGATATGTTTTAACAATCCCAGATTTTGAATACTTGGGTTTACATCCTGTTGTTCTTCCAGTTGGTGGGAGTTTGAGTTTAATGCTGGGGTCATGACAATCTCTTGATTTAGAATTAAAGCATGTGGTTGTACTTCAGGGAATATTGCAGAGCACAGTGTTGGTTCTTTCCCATCAATATATTGAATCCAAATGCCATGAATAATTTGGCATGTAAACTTTTTAATCCAAAAGTCATTGGTATAAATTTTTACATCAAAAAAAAACCCCAAACAACAGCCCCACCTTATTTGTCTCTGCTAATTGGGCTTCGAATTTCTGGATTTGGGTGTACACTTGAAATCTTCAATTTGATTATGCTCTTTTTAATTGGAAAATAATTTGTCTTCCTTGGTTTCTTTCTGTAGAACAAATGTAGTTCTCTGTAGTTACTGCAGCTTCTTTACTGTCCCCATTCTCTTGGCTGTTGCTGTCACATGAACAGATCTTTTTGCTGTACACACTGAGACCAGCTAAATATTTGGCCTCAGTAATGTCTTCAGGAAACATTTTATTATCAGAGGAAAGGGGTTACTGCGCTCCAGGTTAGCACATCCTTCTGCCTGTGCTGATATTATTGAAATATTATCAATATTTCACTCTCCTGGCAAAGTGATTGGCCATAATGAATGTTTGCTATGTATTAAATATGTAGACTGCTTTAAAAGCATTTCTAATAAGTTATTCCGACACGTATTAGGAAATTATTTATGCAGGCAGGATAGGTGACAAAGTGGAGAATGTCTTACATTATGACATTTCCGCACAGTTCTTACTTAAAAACTTACTTTAATCTTTTTTTTGTGTTGGTGCATGTACATGATGCTTTAGAGGTGAGAGCTGTATGCTGTGCTGTGGATCACTTTATCAGTTCTTTGTTTTGATGTGCAAGTCCTTTCGTGGAACTCAGTACCTTATCTTAGGGATTGGCCCACCTTATTTTGAAGATTTTAGGTTTGTTCTGGTCAAGGATCATGTCTAATGGATTAAATCAAGCTTTTTCAAAAGCAGCAAGGATTTCTTTAGTTTTAGAGAACTCTGGTAGCCTTTGTAGGTATTTGTTCCGAGTAATCCTACTTACATTGATAGGTAGTTGTTCAAGCTAAGGCTAAAAGCATGGCTAAAAGCTCAGCCAAACTTGTAGTGTAAATTTGGGTAATGCTATAATGTACTGTGTACATTATAATAATGCCTATGCACTTCAGATTTAACAAAAAGAAGGTAAGATCTAGAGCATTCTGTGGTTAATAATTTATTTTATGCGTATGAACTAGCACTGCTATTGAAGCATCTTTATAAAATATATCTAAAAATTGAAATGTCTTTTGCTTTAATACAACACTTTAAGAAAACAGTAAGACAAATACAACTTTTGCAATTTGTTTCCTTCTTTTGTGGTTATATAGTCCTTTAAGTATCAAAATGGGACACTGATTTTGTTCTTAAATTAGGATGATTTGATGCTGAATTAGGGTGGCACTTGAAGTACAGCCTTTTATGTGAACAGTGATAATGACTGGCAGGTGTTTTGCAAGGTGGACTAGAAGAGCAAGTTAAATTCAGAGATTTACATGACTAGAAGTATTTCCTAGGTATTATGTGGAACACACTGAATTCACTGTGCACTTTTGAAATCTGAAGTAAACCATATTTTACATACAAAAAGCTTTATGCCTCCTGGGTTGACACAGGAGTGACTAAACAAGTCTGCTGTTTGATGAGCATGTGAAATAGTTTGTTATCAAGTAATTCCAGTTTGACCAGTATCAGACATTTGTGCTGCCTTTGAATGATACTTTGTTCTAAATACAAGTTGATATTACACAGGGTTTAATTTCACAAGTATTTGCCAATTATCTACTCAGGAGTAGATATCCAATCTCTGCAGCATTGGTAGCCTGTGATTTAATCTATGGTATTTGTGTTTCAGTTTATTTGTTTTTCATTATGCAGGCAGAAAGTATTTCTTCTTTTCTGGAAACCAGCAGAAGAATGCCATAGTCACATGAACTGTACTTCAAAATTGGATGGAACAGGAGAGCAGGCTATTTTACTTGTGTCAAGAGAAATAATAAAGGTTAATGTAGATTCAGAAGTTCAGTCTTCAGTAAAAAATAAGCTTAAAAAAGATGCTGAGTAGTGTATAGGTTCACAAGAAGTTCTTCTAGAGATACAGAAGAATACTGATTTAAATAAAATAATGCATATTGTTAGAGGGCGTTACTTAAGGCTTTGTAAGTCTCGAGAGAAACATTTCTGTCCTAAATGCAACTCTGCTTGTCCAGTTGTGAATTCAGGCCCACTCCAAGACAAACAGTATCATCTAGATATTGATTTCAGGCAACCTTTAGTTTCTGAAATTGAATTTTCTTCCCAAAGAACTGCATTATTTTGTAACATTGACAAGTAAAAGGCATGCAGCATTACCTTGGTAGTACTACAAGTAACCTTATATCTGATTTTGACATTACTCAGGTTATTGGGCAACATTTCTGTTGAGCAGATTTGTTATCACTTTGTTAAATATTTTTATTCTTCACACACAGGAACATAGGAATCTGCCTTTCATGCGTGAATTGAGGTACCTGTTTGCACTTCTGGTTGGTTCAAAGAGAAAATATGTTGATCCATCAAGAGCAGTTGAAATCCTTAAAGATGCTTTTAAATCAAATGATTCCCAGCAGGTAAATTCCATGCATTTTCAATCAATTTTATGCATGTTTTTATATGGTCATATTATAATAGGAAATACTTACTGTAGACAACAGAATTTTAAAATGTCCCCAGAAAAGCAACTTCTAATTATCACGGTCTTTGAATTTACGTGATTTCTGGTTATATTTATTAGAAAGATGTAAAAACAAAACAAAACAACCCCAAAAAAACCAAATTCTAGACAGCAGGACTATTTTATTCAATACACTTTCTTCCTATTATTTTAGAAATAAGCTAATAGTTCAACAGTCTTGTTTTTAGGCTTTAGTTTAACTTCTAAGTCTGGGGGTTTTTGAAGGAGAAATACTGTTCTGATCTACACCCAGTGTTGTACTGTTAATGTGCAGTGCCATTATACTGCTTGTTTTGGTTTGGAGTATCTAAATATTCAGGATTATTACCCAAATCTTAGTGTGCATATTCTGCTTTTTTTTTTGGTGAAATGAGGTATGTGGCTGAGGTGTTTAATTACAGTAGCACACTGAATTTAGTGCTTGATGAAAGTAATATTAGTCACCACTTGCTAGATACCAAAGGGTTTGAACAATGGGATTCAAGAGATGCCTTTGGACTAGCGTGGTGTGAAAGCTGAGCCCAAGTAACAAGGATCACAGGACAGTGTCACTGCTGAGGAACCCCAGAGCCACTCATAAAGAAAACAATCATGGCATAGTCTTAGACATTGTGTGATTCTGGAACACTGGTGGAGGGGGAAGGGAATTCTGCTAAACTGGTCTTGTAAAGTGGCACTTTGTTGTGTTCTGTTACATATGTGTACTGATCACTTTATTTTTTAACAGCAAGATGTTAGTGAATTTACACACAAATTATTAGATTGGCTGGAAGATGCCTTCCAAATTAAAGCTGAAGAAGAGAGGTAAGATTTTTTTTCTAACTCTGCATGTTGAATATTTTAAATGAGAGAAAAGCAAAGCAAATGACCAAAAATCCAATTCTCTGTATGGCTGAAAAAATTTTGTTCTAAATATAGCTTGTTTTAGTTCAAATGTGATTTTTTTCCATGCATATCAATACTTTCAGTTTTTTTTCCATAAGTTGTCTTTTTTCACCCTCTTATTTCATGTAAGAAATCTAGCTCTGGGAAGTCCAGAGTATATAAAGAGTAAAATAAAGAGGTGTTTTGTACATAGTCAATTAGGCTTTTTTAAAGTACTTCAAAAACCTCACTCCTCTTTCTCATCCCAGAAGAAAATACTCATTGTTTGTATTAGTGAGCATCTGGAAACTCTTTTGAATACATGATTTTTTCATATAATATTTCAAGAAACAGTTTTTAAAAGGTTTTTGTGCAGTTTAAGCACTCATTATTGTATCTGGTTTGCATAGATTATCTTAAAATTAAATGCTTCTGAAAATTAGTTTTCAGAATATAGTTTTTCCTGCAAATACCTGAATCATTCTTATCATCATTAGAGTGAAGTACAAAAATAAACTAGCAGTAAAATGGGCATCATTTCTATAATGAATTAAGAAGACTTTAAAATTCTGAATTCATTCATTCTGAACTCTGAATTTGAGAAGAAGTCATAGTTTTATAAATCAAAGGTTTTAGCTTTGACTTGGATTTTTTTTTGCACTAACAAAGCTCCTGTTCTTTTAGGGATGGAGAAAAACCAAAGAACCCAATGGTGGAGTTGTTTTATGGACGATTTCTAGCAGTAGGTGTACTTGAAGGTATGCATCAGAATTTACTTGGACTTCTCTGGTCATGTCTGATTTGTGCTTGTCCAAGCACACAAGTGACTGATGCAGTTTTAGGATTATAGCAACTTCTGCAGAAGAAGATGTGGAGAACACACATACATACATTTGTCTGTGACAAATGGTTGGTCAGGTATGAGGAGAAATGCAGTGAGCTGCAGGGATCCACAAAGACTGTTTTCATGATGTTCAGGAGCTGAGTGTATGTTCTCAGTGCAGCAGAAGTTGGGGTGAGATGCTGAGGGAAGGTGCTTGGAACAAATTACTGGAGCACTGTTACCACTTACTAACAGTGTACAGAAGGCAAACTGCTGTATTTCACTGAGCTGTACTCTTGTGCTCCCTCTGATTCATTTGATGCAATTTAAAACTTCAGTAATTACGTTTCCTGCTCCACAATTTCTCATATGGAAAACTCACCCTCCTAAAAGTACAGTTTGTTGGAAAACAAGTCAGTGGAAACTTGCTCAAGGGCAGCATTGGAGAGAGTGCTAAGGAGGAAGAGACTGTACAACAAGCTTCCTTGTATCTTATCTGTATGTAATTAGTAGATCTGCAGAATTGTACTGTTCTCTATTTCCAAAAGGCTATGAAAGTATTTTTGTTTTAATGTAAATTATTTTTGTTTTAATGTAAAGTATGAAAGTATTTTCATTTTAATGTTGATTCTGCCTCCCATCCTAATGAATGACTTTTGCATTTGAAGGAAGCAAGTGTAGTCTTTTAAGTGGTTTCCAGGTTATTCTGTGACCTTGAACATGTTTCTAATGAGTTGTTGTCAGATTTCAGAATCATTCTTCAGATTTCTTGCTAGTAGCATTCTTGTTTCTTTATATTTAGCTACTTTCATTCCTTTCATACTCATTTTAACAGAGGAGATACGTAAAAATCAAACAAATAAAAGGAAACTAAGTAATGCAAGACTTGTCACTGACTTTAGGTTGAAATAAATTGAATTTCTAGGTTGAAATCTCTTGTCCCCCATATTTCTCCTCATTTTTTTCAGTTACATTTTTATACAGTGTTACCAAATTATAATCTTGTTTTCAGGACAGAAATGAATGTTCTCTTTTGTAGCTTATTTTTGCAAAATGTCCGTATACAAAGACTCTTTCATACCAGCAATTCCACTGACTTTGCTGATACAATAATATACATTTGTATTATGAAGCTCCTGTTTGCAGGGGAGGACTTGCAGGACTTTGATTTATAGGTGTAAAACTTCCCATACATCTGTGGTGCCAAGTAATTTTGAGTTTTGCGTATTACTAAAAGATGCTAAAACAATATAAAAATGGGCCGAAGGGGAAAATACAGTAATTTTTAATATTGCTTGACCAACAATTTGAATAAATTTTCTTTTGACATATAATTAAATTGTTCAGTAAGAAAATGTGGATATTGTTCCATAGACTAGATCAATTGACCTAGGATTGATAGGTTTTTCTCAAGGTAAATTTTTGTTCTAAAGCATTAACTGTTTAATTTTTCATGTGAAGGTAAAAAATTTGAAAACACAGAAATGTTTGGCCAGTATCCACTACAGGTTAATGGCTTTAAAGATCTGCATGAGTGCCTAGAAGCTGCAATGATTGAAGGGGAAATTGAATCTCTCCATTCAGAAAACTCTGCCAAGTCTGGTCAGGAGGTAAGTGCAGTGCTCCTGTGGACTTCTCTTGGGATGTTGTTGTAGTGCCCTTTATTTTTCTTTGGGTTTCATGTCTGGTTTTTATGGTTCATGGCACCTGCTTTATAGATGGGAATCCCTATTGCCTGTAAAGGCTGAGCTACTTTCTCTTTATATAGCTGTTCATGTTTCATCACAGTTATTTTAAAGATGTGAAATCTTAGGAGGTTATTTCCTACTTATATAAAAAGTTCAGGTGTAATTTCTTTCTTGATATCAATCTTTTGCAGTAATGAAATTTTGCTTCCTTAATATCCAAGTACATGGGTGTTTAATTGTGAAGCCTAGTGACACACTCTGAAATCATCCTCCAGTCTGAAATTCTGGTACCAGTTCTTGTTTTACAGCAAATGTTCTATGTCATCTCTTCTACAATGAGCATAATTCCTGAAATGTAATTTGAAGAAAACAAAACCTCATAAATTTCTTGGTACAATCCCAACTTTAGTTTCTCCATGCAAGGTGAAACCTTGTATGTACCTACTACAAGAGCACAATTGTTCATCTTATGAACTGAAGGTTATCTTGCAGTTATAACCTGTGTGTATTCATGCATAAAATACCAGTTCTGTTATAAATGCTTGACTAGAAATGTCAGACATGGGTGTTGTAGGCTTTTTTAACTTGGAATATTGAGAAACTGGGAAACAGCAGGATAGTGATCTACAGGTCAATACTGTATAGATGTACAGTATAGATCTGTACAGTATGGATCTACTGTACTGTAGATCTATACTGTTAAGTTTCAAGTTCTGTGAAATTGTAAGCTTTGCTTCTTAGCATGTGGAAATAGAAGTGAAATAGTCATATAACAGATTGACAGAGGTGGAAGAACAAGAAAAGTAATGTGTTAAGTCCTACTCTAGAAAAATCATTGCTTCATTATTACTAGTGCCAAATAAATTGGTTATGTTTCCCTGAAATAATCCATAGTGATATTGCTTCTTTTAGTAGCCATGTTTAAATATAGTGCCTGAAAAATATTACAGTACACTGGAAAGTTTGGAAGTACTAAAGAACTCTGAATTTCTTGTAGCGTTAACGTGGTCTGTCTCAACTGAACAAAGACTTCAAGAAACTTTTCTCTGAGTTGATCGATATCAAAGCTTAAAGGGAATAATAATGTGGTACTCAAATGTGTTGAAAGATCCTCAAAGTAATGTTCTGTATTTCTTTTCCTTTTTTCCCACCATTGGCTCTAATGTGGTATTGATTTAACTTGACTAGTATTTTTAGTAGTATTATTATCATGATACCTAAAAGCCTTAGTTACAGAGCAGGTTGTCAGCTAGTGAAGCTAATGTAGGAACAGAAAAAGGAGTCATTCTCTGTCCTGAGGAACTTAAATCCTGCTTCAAGAGAATTTTAGCCATGATCATAGGAAGAACAGGCTGTTTGCCAGTTATTATATGAAAGGACTATTCAAGACCTTTGGCTGCATAGGAGAACTTGAAGTGACCCTTGAGTCAAATGCCACATCTGGGCTATGGCACTTGATGACAAATGTGTCAATAGTGTCTGCTGCAATCAGAGAAACTTCAGGTGATGGTTAGACACCCAAAACTTATTAAATGGGTAGACGGTGGCTGTTACCAGTGAGAATGGAGAGGGAAAAAAAAAAATCTTCAGTGCTGGAACTAGAGCTGAGTTTGTACTGTAGTTGAGAAACGATGTATGTAAAAAAAGAAATGAGGACTATGGATAGACCTCTGCTGAGTAGTCAAAGACAAATGGGGTAAGATGATAGTAAGGTGATTAGAGACATGAGTAGACACTTTAAGCTGTTAGTATGGAGGAAATGTCAAACACTCACTGATCCTGTTTCAGAGGGGGTCATTAGAAGCTTTGAATGTTACTAGGTGAATGAAAGGATCAGGAAATTGAGTCTAAGAGAACTATAGCAGGAAGAGCACTTGCTAACAGTGTAAACAACCCTTTAAATATCATTGAGGAGTTAAGGGAACAGAACAATTGGCAAGGCAGGTGGGCTCAAGCATGAGCTGAGTTCTGTGAGAGCAAAATACATGTGAGTGGAACAAGTATTTCTGCCACACCTGTGCTGGAGCACAGATAGCAAAGCTCTTATGCAGCATGGTCTGCATTTACATTGAAGGGAGAGGGTGGTTGTGGCAAGCACATTTCTCTCCCTCTCAGGATTTTTCATAGAGGTGCACAGAGAGAAATGAAAGAGAAAACAATTTCTGTTTCTGCTCCTTGTTTTTCCTATGTGGAATGTATTTGGAGAATTATGTACCGGGAGTGAGTGCTTAAATTCTGGTGAGGATTGTTTGAGCCTGATGGCCAATCCAATACACCTGTGTCTGTCTGGACACTGGAGAGAGGGTTACGAGTTTTACTAGAGCTAGAGAAAGTAGTACGTAGTTTTAGTATCTTCCTTTTTATATGGTATATTAATGTATTTTAGTATAGTTATAATAAAGAAATCATTCAACCTTCTGAATTGAGTCAGACATTATCATTTCTTCCCATTGGGTTTGCCCACATTTACAATAGGTGGTAGCATTGGAAAACTTATGCTGACCCACTCTAAAACCAGTTTCTGTCACAGCTGTGCCAGTCTGCAGGTATTGTATCATTATTACTGAATTTCTGCTATTGGAAGGCATTAATTTTGGGGATTTCTGTTTCTTCATCCAGCACTGGTTCACAGAGCTTCCTCCTGTCTTAACTTTTGAGCTGTCAAGATTTGAATTTAATCAGGCCTTGGGGAGACCAGAGAAGATACACAACAAATTAGAATTTCCTCCAATTTTGTATCTAGACAGGTATGGTATAATATTATAAACAAAATTCTAGTGTGTATATAAAATAAATCTTGTAAGTTTGTTAAAGTTGATTATATGTCTTATGCTCACTTGAATCATAGTAAATTTATGTTCTATTTACACAAGTTAGAGTTTTCATGTGCTTAATCTGTTTCAGAAAATACACATAGATCACAATTTAAGACATAGTGCTGCTTTGTGTCAAAAACCTGCTTCCACTTTAATTTATTGCTAGGTATTTCTGTGCACACAGGCAAAATACTCTGAAAAATCAGACCCTCCATTTATGGGTCCCTTTGGGAAACAGGGTGACAAGTTGGATATTTTGTGGTGTTCCAGATACTCTTCAAATGTGCAGTCAGTCCTCAGCATGAGTGCATGCAGATTCTCTAGAGCAGAAATACCAGGATGGCTTTCAGTTAGCTGCTGAAAGTTATTTGTGAACCTAAATAATGAAACAGGAGTATTGCTCTGTGGTTGCCACTTAAAGTACTTAATTTAGAATCTCTCTAATAGTGGCTTTCTAATACATGTCATCCACAGTATCAACAGAGCTTTTGACACTGGGGAAAAAGCATCTTCTGAAAGTTGTGGAAGGGAAGGCTCATTTTCTTCTCAGTTCTGTTTTAGTGCTGAGTATGTTGTAGGTTCTAGAGGGTGTGAGATTTTATTAGTACTGAACTTCATGGTTGATGGAGACAGACCTCAGTTTCACTGTTGGGATACTATGGGCTGACACTGCTTTCTAAATTTTGTGTTTTACAGGTATATGCACAAAAACAGAGAAATAACAAGAATTAAACGAGATGAAATCAAGAGACTCAAAGAGTACCTCACAGTTTTACAACAGAGACTAGAACGGTATTATAGATAACTGTGTAAATGCAAATATTATTATGGGCTACATAGAGTAACTTTGCAATCATGCACTTTCTCTATAATTATTTACCTGAGATTTCCTTTCTATATCACTTTTCTTTTACTCTTTCTTTGGAAGCTGTGTATAAGTGTTGTAATTCTGATTCATGAAAGGTTTGCTTTAATTAATTGCAGTCAGAAAAAATATATAATTTTTTTTCTTTTAAAAATTTTTTTTGTATATATGAGTCATGGCATTAATACGTTTTGTGGTTAACAGATATTTAAGCTATGGTTCTGGTCCTAAACGATTCCCCTTGGTAGATGTCCTGCAGTATGCCCTGGAGTTTGCCTCCAGCAAGCCGGTGTGCACGTCCCCCGTGGATGACCTGGGTGCCAGTGCTCCTGCCAGCGGCACACTGCCACCACAGATCCCCCCCAGGTAAGGGCTGCCTCCTGCTCCCTGGGCAGAGACCAGAGCAAGCCAGCCTCTGGGAGAGAGGGAGCACGTTCAGCTGCTGTGTGCACCAGAGCAACAAAACCGGGCATCTCTAGGGAGGGGAGTGTAAAGTTTCTGCTCTCTTCCTTCAGCACAGCAGGCTTAAATAAACAAAAATGCTAATGATCTGGGTTTGTCTCATGCACTTATAAAAATGTCTTCACAAGGAGATTACCATTTTCAAGCACAGCCCAATTCCCTGTACAGTTCTAAATAGACAGAAGATTCTGGGGAGGTCATTGATTCACATGTGTATTAAGAATCTGAACTGGGCAGTGTGTATGTGGTGCATAGCATCAAGGTTTCTGGTGTGCAGTTTATCTTTTACTTTTTGCCTGGGAGCTAAGCTCCTTGTCTGCCATGCAGTTTTCATGTCTTACCAAATTTGTCAGGAACCTGAATAATCTGACTTCTTAAATGCAGAGTAGCTAAAGTACCAGAGAGATAAATGTCCAGTAATGTTGGTTTTCTCCCTATTTAAATAGTCTCAGTGTAGGGTATTGAGTGTATGTTCAATCAGTTTGCAGATGATGCCCAGCAGTTAAGGACTGGGGTTTGCTGGTCAGCAGTGTCTGAACAGGAGCCAGCAGTGCCCAGGTGGCCAAGAATGCCAATGGCACCTGGTGTGGCAGCAGGACCAGGGCAGTGATTGTCCCCTGTGCTGGGCACTGCTGAGGCCAAACCTCAATCCTGTGTTCAGTTTTGGGCTCCTCACTACAAGAAAAACATTGAGGTGCTAGAGCATGTCCAGAGGAGGGCAATGGAGCTGGGGAAGGTCTGGAGCACAAGTGTGATGAGGAGCAGCTGAGGGAGCTGAGGAGACTCAGTCTGGAGAGAAGGAGGCTCAGGGGAGAGCTTATCACTCTCTACAATTGCCTGACAGGTGGGTGTAGCCAGGTGGGAGCCAGCCTCTTCTCCCAGGTAACAAGTGACAGGACACAAGGAAACAGCCTCAAGTTGCACTAGAGGAGATGGCACTAGGCTGGATTCTAAGAAATATTTGTTCACAGAAGGGATTGTCAAATGTTGGAACAGGCTTCCCAGGGCAGTGGTGGAGTCATCCCTGGAGGTATTTAAAAGATGTGTAGATGTGGCACCGAGGGACATCATCTTAGAAGTTTTCTCCAACCTAAATAATTCTATGGTAATAGAGTATAAATTTGGATAAATGGACTTTTAACAGTTTGTAACATAGCTTGGTATGTTGTATTTGGGCAGTAGGGTTCTGTCTTCTGGGTCAGTCAAGGTTCTTAAATTTGTCATTTAGAGAAGTGAAGTACATGAATCTAAAAAACGCTTTAAAAAGATGTCCAGTGGCTTACTGATATAATGCCAGCAGAAATTGTGATGATTGATAAGAGAAGACAAACTCTTAAAGGTTACCATTGCTTGCATGAAATGCAATCTCAAAAGTAATAAACTGCTCAAACTCCTGTACAGGAGTTTGTTCTGTAGAAATGCAAGTACTGTGGCTTTTTTGTCCATCTGTAGAAACACCACAACATGTTATATGGAGTGACAGTTTCAGCTCTTAAATTCTCTGAACTTTATAAACTCCAGAAGAATCCAAGTTCATTAGGCTGCATCATTTTTACACAAAATAAAAATTCAGTGACATGCAAGAAAGATCTTCAGATTCCTCTTGTGTATTGTAATTATATAGAGGTGATCTTGTTGATGGGAGAGAAAAATCTGTGACAAGTATTCAATTTAATTACCCTGCTGCTCTTGCAGAATTCTCCTAAGGAGGTGGCTTTGCAGTTCTTGTTAGAGTGGTTTGGAGCAAATTTAGATTGGTTGGTAGCACATTTCCAGTGTGGCATAAATATCAGAAGTCCCTTCATTATTACTGTTCAGCTAACATAAATTGTAGGTAGGACATTAGAAAAAGTATGTCTGCTAGGCATAAGACACATGAAGGAAGTTATGAAACTGAGAATTTGGATTTTATGGTCATTGGCCATAAAACAAGCTATTGTGATTTCTCTTTTTGCCATTTGACTGTAAATGTTTCAAACCACAGTTATTTATTGTATGATGTGATTTAAAATTGTTCAGTAGTGTTTCACATAAAGCAAACTTTGTTGTTGTGCTAATATGTAATACACCACAAAGCTTTCAGAATTCAAATACTAATTCCATATTTGTTATTGTAATTACCTGTTCTGGACTGTACTTTAGGAAATTGTTACCTTTAAAACGCTCATTTTCAGATGAAAAGCTTATTTTTATGGCTCAACTTTTAGTCTGTCTATGTGATGATTCAATTTTTATATTCCATGTTTTGAATGAATGCAGCACAATAGAGCAGCAGGGGCCTTCATCATCAGATGTCCCAAGCACATCTCCTGTACAAAGATCAGTAATACACAAACCATTCACACAATCACGGATTCCCCCTGACCTGCCGATGCATCCAGCACCACGGCACATCACGGAGGAGGAGCTGTCTGTCCTGGAGGGCTGTTTGCATCGCTGGAGGACTGAAGTAGAGAATGACACAAGAGGTAATGCCACACACTGGGGAATGCATTTGCTGTAGGAAAGGATTTGTGCAAGTGGGGGAAATCTTTCAGCCAAGGAGGTTTAGCATTTGACTTGTAGATAGATGTACCATGTGTGAAGCGCACCCATTTGGCTTTTTGTGAGATAAAGATGTAGTCATGTGCAATTTTTACAGCCTTGTGGAAGAGAGGTTATTTCTTCTTTGTCTTTCAGATTTACAAGAAAGTATATCAAGAATACATCGGACAATTGAATTGATGTACTCTGACAAAACAATGGTCCAAGTAAGTACAGTTTTGGCATGAGATAATTGAAAATAGATCCTTTTTGGCACTTCAAAAAATTCTTAGATGCTTGAGAACAGAGCAAGTATACAATGATGTAGTGTTTTGAGACATTTCATGGCAAAGTCATAACAGGTTTTGTAAGCCCTTTAGTTGTGCACAGTCAAATGAAAGACAGCATTACAATATTTTACAGGTGACATGCTTAAATTCAGGCAACGATGATGAAAAGCCCAAATATGTTCTATCTCTGAGCCCTTATTTTTTACCTGAATGTAAATTCACACAACAAAATTTTATTGCCCTGATTTGCCCATATTACTTATGGCTTTAAGATGGTGAAGCATTAGACACAGGAAAATGCTATTTACTTGACTGCTTAGTGCCACTGTGTATTGCAACTTCCACTCTAATACATGGAAATTCAAGGCTCCTGCTTTTGATTTGTAGTTAATTCCAGTGAGTGTTTTTGTTGCTATTGGTTTGGGTTTTTTTTTTTTTTTTTTTTTATTTTTTTTTTTTTTTTTTTTTTTTTTTTTTTTTTTTTTTACTTTTTCTAGATTTTGTATCAGTCACAACTTTGATTATTAGTCTAAGCAATCTAGCAAATTCTTACTCTGTTTTTAGAATGTTCTGCTATGGAATTGTGGCTCCTCTGCTGTTTCTTATGTTCACATGCTCATGTTCTCTCACTGTGAGAGGTTTTAAGGTTAAGGATTACTTCCTCTGTTACTTTCTGTTGGTAGAAAGAAATATTTTTGTTCAAAGTAAGATCTGTTCAGCTTATAGTTTTTCTTGAGGTATGTTTTCATTTTGTACATAGCTCCTAATAGTTACTGGCAGCTGAACTCTGATGTTAAGGACTTCAGGCAGATTTGCCTAGATGACTTTCTTGAAGCTTGCTACTAGCAGGCACATTTTTTCCTTAATACTTGTGTTCTAAGAAAAAGGCCCCAGGCTGCATGTCATCTAACAGTAAAATTAATTAATTTGGTAACTTGCATCTAAATAGACTGTGTTGGCTTAGGTGTTACAGGAAGTAATACCTCTGGATAGCAAAGGTACTAGTCAGCTGTCATTACAAAAGAAAAGAGATTACTTAGTAAAACACAAAGTACTGAACCCATCTGAAATCATAGGCTGGAAGGAAAGCTGCCCTTTTGCAGCTCACCTGGTTTGTCTCTGTGGCTGTTTTTGCACAATAGGAAGGAGGCAGGTACACAGAGCTGTCTACTTTTCCCTTCTTCTGTTTCTGGGTGATTTGATAGCTGGGTATTGCCCCATTCCCTGGGAACAGTTTCCCTCTGCAAAATACAATTGCAGGACTGCAATCTTGAAGTCAAGTTCTATGCACGTAAAACTAGACACATTTTAAAGACAAACATATAATATTTGCAGGATTCTTCCTAGTGTGTTTATGAACTATTTGGTAAGCTCTTTGTCTTCTCCTTTTGTCCTTTTGGATTCTAAGGCGATACAATAGTCCATAAAACCTTTGTCAAATTGTCATATGAAATACATTCCTGAAATCTTTATTGTTTCATTCTTCTGATTGAATGGTTTATCAGCTGCTTATTTATTTCCTTACTTCTGTGAACTTGCTATTGGGAAAGAGTCACAGCTGTTTTTTCTGTGGGAATTCATCTTGGATATAGCATTTTTGACATACCTGTTCTGTAGCTACATGTGATGGGGTTGGTGGAGCTCCATTCCTGGTTTATGAATAGTACGTGTAAACTAAGAAGTTTAATGCCACATATGTTTGTGTTGCCTTGTGCTATTAATTACTAATTATAAAATAATTATTAATTATTGATATAATGGCTTATCACAAGAGATGCCTGTTGGCACTGGACTCACCTGTCCCCTGGTCATAGACCTCTGTGGAGAACCTTCCTGAAAGCTCAGTGTGGGTGACTGGCAGCTGCTTCTCTTGGCTTGGAGGAAAGGGAGGGGACCCTCAAGCTGACCCAGTTCACATGGGTTTAAGTAAAATGCTTTAAATTCAATGGGGACTTTTAGTTCCTGATTTTAGGGTAAGAAAATTTTGTTTTGACAAAAGTCTAAAGAGACACCTGGTATATTAAATCAGGATCTGCATACATTTTTGTGCATATACAGAGGCTTGTAGTCATGTTAAGGAGTCTTTCGCACTGGTTTAATAACAGATGTTAAAAAACCCCAGAGCATTCAGATTTAAGGACTTGCCAGGATTTCTTCTGTGTATACTCCTTGTGTTTGGGAGATTTAGAGTGCAGTTTAGTCTCTGGAAAGACAGGCTGTTTGATTCCAGCTGCTGTGCAGTCACTCTGCTTTACAGTTCAAGGGGAGTTGCAAAATATCCAGCACTTGCATATAGCCTGGAAGAGAATGATCAGGTTAAAAATAACTTCAAGGAGTTTCTCCAGTCAGGGTTATGTGTATATTTACAATTGTTGCAGTATTCAAATGGTATTTGCAAAAAAATGCTGAGTACACTCTGAGTTGAAGAGACTGTTTATCTTCAGTCCAGATTGTGACGCCAGCACAAGCTGATTTTGGGGTTTTTCATCCCAGCTGAGCTTTTGTCATTGAGGCACACTGTGCACAGCAGAGAAGCTCAACTTTCCCTTTTATGTTGTATGTGCTCTTCCAGCAGGTTAAAATTAATCAATCGCTAAAGATGTGTAAGTAAGGAAGAACGCATTCTGCTTCACTCTATCTCCTTCAGACTCCCAATTACTTATGTGGAAACGGTTTCCTGTTGTTCTTACTTGTTGGTTTGCAGATGTAGCCTGGAATTCATTTTCCACTGGTCCTAGAAGCTGCTGTCGTCCTTTGCCTCAGGAGGAGGGGAGGACCTTTTCAGGTCTTCCATGCTTTGTTTGTCTTTTCCTGATAGAGTTAAAACACTCAAAAACAGTTGTATTCCTACTCTGCTGTGGGAATTTTATTTTTGGGTATCTAAAGCAGATACTAATTTAAATAAATTCTTTTACTGTCAACAAAAGCACTGAGTTTCTTACCTTGAATTTGCATGTGCCTTTCCAGACTTTTTGACAGGTTTGCCAGGTCGGAACTGAAGTAAATCATAGACAGTCAAGGCTGACGTATTTGAGGGGTTTTTTGGTAGATACAATGAAGGTAGGAATATTAAGGAATTAAGAAAAAAGGATGAGTGGCAGTAAAGACAGCAGAGTAAACATATATGTCGTACACTAATATTTTTAAGATGTCCTGTAACTAGCAGTGGTTAGCAACATAGTTCCAAATTCTTATGCTTAATGGATTGCTAGTTTTACTTGTTTTTCCTCTGTGTTATGTTTTGATCCTGATTAACTTTATTTCAGTTACTTTTATTTCATGTAGCAATTATTGCTGGCATACAATAGGAACTAAATACTGTCAAGGAGGGTTTGACATTTTTTTGTTTCCTGTTTTGTTTTTTTAAGGTTCCTTATAGGTTGCATGCTGTCCTAGTTCATGAGGGTCAAGCGAATGCAGGTCACTACTGGGCATATATTTATGACCACCACCAAAACAGATGGATGAAATATAATGATATTTCTGTGACAAAGTCAACTTGGGAAGAGTTGGAACGAGATTCTTTTGGAGGTTACAGGAATGCCAGTGCATATTGTTTAATGTACATCAATGACAAGGAGCAGTACTTGATACAAGGTAATGTTATCTACGCACATTCTACATGATATAGAATAGCTGAATACATTGATAAAGCAAATTTCTTTCAGATGGATTTCCAGATTTTTGAAATGTTTTTAATAGTTATTGAAAGTTTTATTCCTGCTGCAAACTGTTTTGGTTTTTGTGGGTGGAACAATTGCTGTTCAGCTTAGAGAACAATAAAGATAATGCCTGTGTTTCAGCATTATTAGCATAAAAAAACAAACTGCTTGCTAATTTGTAAATATTTTACAGAAGGGATTGCAGAATTTTGTAGGGTTTATCTCAAGATTAGAAGAGAAGTATGGAAATAGAGAAATGAGCCTTTTGACATTAAAATCCTCATGTAGCTGCTTTTCTCCCCATAAGCTTCAGAGCTCACTGGAGCATGGAAACGTGAAAGCTTATGCAGTAAATTGAAATGTGAATAACTTAGCCCTACCGACCACACATCAAACCTAAGTAATACATGGGTTAAGAAATTTTTTTCAGGTCGTGTAGGAGTATGCAACTGTAAGGCTTTGTATGGAAATGATTAAAGAGAGGACAGTGATCCCTTAGCACAAAGTTTTTGATAATGGTTGACAGAGAGCTGTCTGTGAAGTGTCCAGAGATCAGTAGAAGATCATGGAAAATATTCAGGTTCCTGTTTTTTCATAGGGCAGAAGGCTCAAGTGCTCATTTGTTCAGTTTCTAAATGAGAACCAATAACACCCTTGACATTCCTGGGTTGCCACGTTGGTGGTGCACTTGCAGCCATAGGGTGTTTGGGCTCTGTAGGCTGCCTGTGCCATTGCAATTAAATCTGAGGCCTGCTTACTGCAGGGCAATTACTGCTGGTGGATCCCCTGGGATGTAGGCTACCCCTGCAGAGAACATTCTCAAAGCAAAAGGAAGATTACTCAATTTAGGTAGTGTTCTTATCAGCTGGTTTTCTGAATTCCTGTAGGTCCACCCTCCCACTCTCCTTCCCCTTTTCTCTTGGGAAGTTTAGGTGTGTCCATCTCTCTGTGGCAGTAATACTGTCAGTCATGGGGATTTTGTGAGTATTTTCTGAATGTTCACATAGAGAGCTCAACAGATAGTAAAACCAGTTAAAACTAATATAGTTTTGGGGTTTTGGTGCTACACTATACATTTCTGGTAATTCACTTGAGGATATATTTTGCTTTCTTTTGTCCTATTTCTTTTTCTGAAACTTGTATTTCATGTTACCACAGAGGAGTTTAACAAAGAAACGGGGCAGATGCTTGTTGGAATGGACACGCTGCCTTCTGATCTAAGGGATTATGTCAAGGAAGACAATAAACGTTTTGAAAAAGAACTTGAAGAGTGGGATGCAGAACTTGCTCAGAAAGCACAGCAGGAGAAATTGTTATCTCAGATACCCAGGGCACCAGCACCCTCACCTGCTCCAGGTTAGCTGCTTCTACCTGTTTGGGAAGGGAGTAGGACCAAAAAACACTGGGGCTTGAATATATATTCTGCAACGTAACAAAGGAACAAAAGTTAATTTGTGTAATCTTGAATGCTATTTACTTGGCCAAGGTAACTATACTTGAAGTTTAAGCCTGTTGGGGCAGTTTTTAGCATTTCATTTTTTATTTAAAGAAAACAATTATTCATTGGTTCTTCTGCCTTTTCCCTGCAAGTTGTCCCAAACTTATTTTTCCTTTTTTTCCCCCCATAGAAACTGAGGCTTTTTAAGATAAGTCTCACCAGTCTGTTTTGAGGATTTGTTAGTCTGTAAATGATGTATTTCTTCTATTTAAGATGATTTAGTGCGAGACCTACATTCACATTTTAAGTTAGAATACCATTAGACCATTTAGAAGAGCAGAATAATGTATTTAGTGCAGTGCCTTGAATAGAGTTAATGATGACAATAGTAAAGCCTACTTAAGAAATTACTGTGTGGAAATGAGGGCGTTAAAAATGTGGAAAAGATTCTGACCAGCAACTGCAAGGCCTGTGCTTGTAGGAACCCAACTAATAAGGACCACTGGCAATCTGATTATAAACCAGAGTTGCCAGGTTTTTAGTACCATTCACCTTTTGCTCCATTGCAATAGACTGTGTATATTATGTGAAAGATGGCATGATGAATTTTCTGCCCAGATGTTCCCATTGATGTACTTGAGTCCTAAAGATTGGGCATACATTTCTCACAACTATGTGTGTCTGCAAAATGAGTGTAAAAAGCGCAGTGATTTAATGGGAATGTTTGTTTAGCGAACTCTACAGAAAGTTGCTTATTTTGTTATGTTTTGAGTTCACAAACACTTCAAGATTCATGCTATTTCTTTTGGTAGTAATGGAAAGTATGAATGTTTAGTCTGCCAAAATTTGGCTTCATCGTGTAAGGAATATAAGACAATATTTATACTAATTAATTTATTGCTCTCAAGTGGAGGAGACTGAAATCTCCCTTAAGGCAGAAAAATACAATGTGCTTATTATTTTACAAAGTAAAAATAGGTCTTGGACTCAAGTGGCTGGAGGTCATTCCATATGTTGAGTCTGTATCCCACAGAAACTCCAGCTGGAATCTCACCTTTGTTCTCAGTCATCCCTGGTGATTGTTTGAGTGATGAATACCCCTCACTCAAGAGCCTTAATGGGTCTATAGACAGACAGATCTATTGTTCCTATATAAATATAAAATATAAATATATAAATTTATATAAATATAAAATCAGGGATCCATTTGTAGGGAAGTGTTTAAAATTACCTAAGACACAGACTGGTGTAAAGTTGTATTTCTCAATTGTGTGACCTACCCTGCATTTTCTGTGTGCTTACCTTGTATATGAGACAGTGATCCAAATAATACTACTCAATTTAAAATTCATGCTTATGTTAACACTCAAAATTGTCTTATTTCTGTCACTAAGTTCAAGCAGGAGAACCAGAGTATTTAGAGCAGCCATCAAGAACTGATATTTCAAAGCACTTAAAAGAAGATTCTGTACAAGCAATCAATAAAGCTTTAGCTGAACAAGAAGACAGAGGTCCAGAAGCTATAATGGATACGGTGAGGACATTTCGAAGCTTGAAATACTTCTTTTGCTATTATTTTGCAAATGAAGATGATGCAAAAACTGATAAAATGGGTGTGAGTCTGGAAATTTTGAACTGACAATTGCTTTTTCTTCAGGGACTGTCCAACACTAAAGTCCATCTAGAAACTGTGTACAACGGTAATGGGTGTAGTGCAAAAAAAAAATTACTAAGATAGGTATTCTCTATGGCATTAAAGTCCTTGTCAGGAGTACAGCATATTGTTAAAATTACAATCAGCTGTTTGTGCATTAAAAAATGTTAGATGATTCCATGTATTTTTGAGGTAAAAGACTTGAAAAATATTGCTCTAGACATTCAGAGTTTTATCTGGGAAATGTAAGACTATAATTGAGTTCCTTTGACAGACCTGTGGAAGTTAATGTAACATTCAAAAATAAGGGATTTTTCAACAGTATTCTGTAGCTTTAATGAAGATTTACACCTTGACAAAAATCTTTTTTTGTGATTCATAGGATACCTATGTTAATTTAAAATTTCTATAATAATCAGTGTTGGGTGTTTGTTTTCACTTTGTACAAAGTATAATAAGAGGAATGGGACATTAACTATTTTATGGGCTATTAATGAAACTAATATTTTACATTTTCTTATTTTGGCAAATACTTTTTTTCCTTCCCTATAAGTATGTAGATAAATGACAAAATGTGTTTGCCACAAAACTATGTGCCATTAAAACAATATATGCATCATCTGTCTTGGAACTATATCCATAAATGTACAATAGCTTCCTTAGGCATCCCTAGTAAGCATTAAGAATATGAATAGTTTAGATCTGTGCAAAATGCTTCCTAAGATCAGGTGTGAATCCTCATTAAACAGAAGCAGTCTGGCCTCAGATATCTTACAATCTTTGAAAATTATGTGGCAGCTTGTTGGCACCCTGTTGACCTGCTGTGTTTATCACCCTCCTGTGGTGTCAGGAAGGCAGGGAAGCACAGTTCCTTTGCTAAGCTGAAATTGAAGCTAACAGGGAAGCTCATCAAACTCTGGATGAGAAGATACTCTGCCACTAAAGGCTGCTGCATATTGGCCTTTTTTGACTTCTCAGAACAGCTTAGTTACTTAGTTGAATACGTGTTACTCCAGCTGAAAAGGTGGCTGTGAAGATACCAAAACACATGATAAAATGTCTTTCAAATGGCTGTTCTCCTTCCAAGGTTTGTGGACACCATCCCAGTGGGATGTGAAAGAATCTTAGACTTTTTTCGATGGATCAAGTGTTGTAGTTCAGGATAATGGCATGTGGCACAGTGGTCAGCCTTAGGACTTCACAGAACAGTGGCTGGGGAGCACCATCATCTGTTTAATGAGACAAAAGAAAAGAAACAAACCATGCAAACATTATTTAGAAACAAATGTTCTTCAATTTCTAGTTAATCTGAAGGTACTCGTTAGCATTTAAAAGCTGTTCTCTGTATCCAAATTTCACTTAGGCAGAATTGTGCTTCCTTCTCAGTGTATCGGCACACTTTCAAATTGTTCTGCTTCCATATGCATTCAGACATGCAGGCATATGTTCCATTACTTCCCTTTTTGTTTGTCCATTTATAAAAGAAGGAAAGCCAACATCAGAACATGCAACAGGATTGTAGGTTACTCACCACATGTTCATTTTTTCCATTTTATGCCTTTTGTCCTTTTTTTCTGCCTTCTGATTGCACAGCCCTCCTTTGTATTTATACATTGTTGGGTGTAAGTAGATACTGTGTTATTGGAATTTTTGTTAAAAAGTGAGGCTATTGTTACAATTGCAGAACAAGTAGCATAGCACTTGGTAATTGCTTGGATTAGAGTCAAGATTTAAGTTCTGCAAATGTTGCAAACTGCCTATTATTCAGTGATAGACCATAGGAGCCAAGATTTGTCTCCATTGTTGTTTAAAACTTAGTTTAACACACTAAGAATTTTAGTGACTAGGATAATCTTCTCCTGATTTTTAATTACTCTTCTAAAATAATAAACCAGCTTAATGTAATGCTCCTTTAAACGTTCTTTAAATATATTTATTGTTAGAGGCTTTTTTTGTATTTTTTTTCTCCCAGAGCATTGGGAAATGTTAGCTTTCAGTTTGTTTCTATCCTTAAATGTGACTTCATCAGGTATTTCAGATAAGAAGTATCTGACTTGGCCTTCTTCAAGGCCAGACTGGATGAGTCCCTAAGCAACCTGTTGAGTGGGTGGCATCTTTAGTACTAGATGATCTTTGAGGTCCCTTCCTAAACTATTCTGATATTTTATGATATACTTAGTAATTTTGGGGTGAAATGTACAAAAAATACTGGTTCACAGACTCATCCTTTACCAAGTGACTTATATTTGTAATGGATATTAGAGTTGTAATACTGGTATACTAACCTGTAAAGATAGAATTAGTGAATAAAGAGCAAATGAAATAATTTAATAATTATGGCTTAATTTTAAAATGTACTGCTTAAAAAGTTATATCACTTATATTCTCTAACTAGATGCAGTTTCTGAATTTCTTCAAAATTTCAGCAGCGCACATTGTACTAGATCACCCAATCAGTTTGCATCTCTCCATAATTTCATTGTATTTTCTGATAATTATTGTGATTATTCTTCTTTTCCCCAAAACATACTGATAATGGTTTTCTTCTGCAGAGCTCTGATAATGCCCCAGCTCAAGCAGCTCCTACCCAGCGAGTGGTAGAGGTGGCGATCCCTGATGTAGGGACTTTTGTGATTGAGTCAGAGGAGGGGGGTTATGACGATGAGGTACCTCGGATTGCAGCTGTGTGCACCGCTCCTCCTCGGTGCTTCCTTCTGCTGCCTGATGAGAATTTTTGGCATGTTTGCACACTGTGACACCTAACAGACTTCTGCAAAACTAAATGCTTAGCGATTTGTGATCTTTAACAATGTCTTAGTGTGTCGTGAAATATGGAAGGAAAGCACTACAAACTCTTAATTGGGCACGGTTTGCATGCTACCATGTACACTGGAGGTATATCTGTCTCTTCAGCTGTGGAGGTTGAATGTTTGTGTTAGGCCAAGTAGCCTTCAAAATGCTGGTGAAAGACTGCACACTGCTACATTATTTAAAAGGTGACCAGACACTGAGAAATGTTCTTAATGTTTGTGCTTTCTTGTCAGTCCAGTAAAGTCTGATCTCTTATTTGCCAAGGTTAAGCTTTTCAGGCTTTGGGGTTTAAATTAGCCATGGAAGTAATCAGAAAATGATATGGCTGGTAGAACTGAATCTTGAAAATCTTAAAAATAATTCAGACTCATGGTGGTACATGTAATTGCTACTACTTGAGGGGCCTGTTGTTTTTCTGAGAGACATTGTGATTTGCTGCCCAGTTTCAGCAGTAGAAAGCAACACTGCCAGTCATCAAACTGCCCTTCATCATCACTGCTTACTCCACGTTTGTTTTGGGTGGGAATAGAGTTGGTGCAGCCCATATTCTCAGGGCAATGGACATGGGTTCTTGGGGAGCTTTAGCTTCCCTAGGCAAATTAATATTTCAGGTCATTCTGGGAGGATGGGGTGGGGAATAAAATGGTTTAATCAGACTGAGTTTAGCTTCTCACAGATATGTAGTCTCCACCTTGAAAGAAATGAGGATTTAACCTCATATAATGACCTGCTTGTTTGTTTTTACTTTTCTCCCCATGCTATTGTCTTTCTAGAGGATAACTTTCTTGCCTATTTCCCTATTTGTTTTGTGTGTGTTTCACTTTTAAAAAAGGTTTTTATGTGTGGGAGACTCGCAGGGAGTTTAAGATCCTTCATTGTTTGTTGCTGCGCCAGCGATACCTTGAGCAGGGAGGGAGTGTTTTCCTTTGTTTACAGATCAAAAAGGAGAAAGGCTTTTCTGTGTAGCTTGGATGTATCTAATTGTGTGTAACTGATGTGAATAGCAGTGAGAGAAGTCTTGTCTTTGGCTTGGTGTTTGCTAATTGTTTTGGGTTTGATGTTTATGGAATTGTAGATATTTCAGGGAGTGATTGCATTTGCAGCAGTGAATCTCTTATTTTGACCTTGAAATAGGCATAAAATATGGGTGGCTTTAGTGCAGTATATCTCAAATGTGGTTGGATGATTTTTCTACTTTCAACTTTTTTCTTTTTTAATCCTTTGATGGCCATGGGTAGCACTTATTCAGTATGCAGTTTCTGCTTGGTACTAATGCTGAACTGTGCATGTTCCTTTCCTGGGAAGTTTGGTACATATAACTTTTTTGACACAGCCCTTTTCCCTTTTTTTTTCTTTTTTGTAAGATTCCTTTAATGTTCCTACAGTAGAACTATATATACACATGCCATGATTTGATTTGCAGAATATGCTCACCAAATCTGTATTGCATGCATTAAGTTGCTTTTTCATCTTGCATGAAACTAAAAGCATATTGAATTTAGTCATTAAAATATTAATTATTCAAAACTTTTACCTTAAATCCCTTGTGGCAGGTCATGCTGACCCCGAACATGCAAGGTATTATCATGGCTATAGGTAAAGCCAGGAATGTTTATGACAGGTGTGGGCCAGAAGCAGGGTTCTTTAAGGTACAACTAACATTTTCAACTTTTTCTCTTCTGAATTTCCTGTAAGATATGCTACTCCTTCTACCCCTTTCTGTATATAAAGTCTTTTCCAACACTTATACATGCGTGTCTATATCAGTCCCTCATTTAGATGTTTATCCCTTGAAAAATACAGATATTTGCCCTTTTGATATCAGCAGCTCATATACCTTATTGCATTTTACCTTTTTAATAATAGTTGTGAATAACATAATAGTAACTGAAACCTAGGTGTGTGATTACACAGTATATGGTTTTTTTCTGCTGTTAGTAATAAAACCCATGCTTTTGCTAGACTGTGTAACATCAGGATTTTTTATCCAGGGACTTAGTAATTTGTTGTTTATTTCAAAGAGGTGTTCTTGGTTTGTACTCCTTAAAAGATTTTTAATGAATTTAAATTGCTTGCTTTTGTATAGCCACATGGGTGTCAATACTATTTAAGCAATGTTTTATTACTGGGAATTAGATATTAGGCCTTTTATGGTGATTAGTCTTCACTGTGACACCAGATTTAAGAATGTGTTCATTTTCTTAAATACACAAACTTCTGAGCACCTTTAGCTCGTGGCCTTTTAAATTTTCAGGGTATTAGAAAGGGAATTGCTTTGACGTGATGTAAAGTGTAAAATCCTCTCAAATGTGATTTGGAGAGGAGAAATAAGTTTCTTGCTTGTCACTGAGTAGTGGTTTGTTTTCTTCTTAATTGTTATGATGTACTTCCACTAGAAGAAATTCTAAAAACCACAAAACCCCAAACAAGCAACAAACAAACAAAAAACCCAAACATTACCAACAAGCTCTACAACCCCTTGGTAAGGAAATTGAAACCTCAGTTGGTTTGTCTGTTTGTGTGGGTGTTTGAAGTGGATACTTAGAGAAGGATTATAACGATAGTGTGTGCAGGGCTGTCTCTGTTAACTGTGCCTAATCTCAGGGAAGGGAGAAGCACTTGCCACAGCCTCTGTTCAGTGAAACTGGATTTCTTTGGCATTCAGTGTCGGTTGCGTTTTTTTTTTTTCAAATTTATTAATGAAAATATATATATTGTTTTTTAAGTTGAAAAAAAATCCTCATTTGATTAAATCACTCCTTGATTTGAACCAGAAAGTTCAATTATACCTAATTATATATTTTAATAGGAAGCGTGTTTTGATACTTTTAAAACAGAAAATTACTTCAAAATAAAATTGTATTTAATGCTTTAGAGTTATCAAAGCAATGCTCAATTGAAATTATTTTCAGTCTTTAATTTTGAATCCTTAAACATTTAGGCTTCACGGGAGCAGAATGTCTTTGAGTGAGAAAATGTTTTGACATAAAGTAGAAAACTTTCCTTACTCATTTTCTGTTGAATTGTATTTGCAGTAGCTTAGAAGAGGTAAAACATAGTTCATTTTGAAGGAATACATTAGTATAAATGGATGCAGATTAAGTGGGTTTGTTTTGGGAACAAAATTTTTTATTCTGTGATGTATCAGGTGAAATCTCACATTTTCCCATAACCTACTAAAAGGCTTCTGTGATGTCTTTTAATACTGTTGCTGTGTCCCTTTATGTGTTTGTTTTTGATAAAATTAGTGTTTTCAGAAAACTGGGGGGGTTCTATATCTTTGTTTTAATGTTACAGAGGTGAAACTCCTTTGTTGTGGGTCATTGTTCATGCCAAGGTTTCAGTCCCCCTCCAGACCTCAGGTTTAAGACATGACTAACATTCAGATAGTTCTTGGTCAGTGATCACTTCAAATCATTGTTTTTTAACCTTTATAGATAACCCCTTGCAGGATGCTTCCTTGAAGAACTTTAATATCCTCAGTGAGAAAATGAAAAAATATAATACGTTTTTCTACAGTTCCTTTTTTTGCATAGATTTTTTTCCTTTTGTTAAAGATTTCTGAATCTGTAGAATACCATATTATTTTAAAATTATTATAAAAATATAAAGTTTGTGTTGCATTTTTTCCCTACTTCTAAGTAATTATATGAAAAATTAAATGTCTAATAGCAGTTTATTTTTGCTTCCTCAGTAATCAAGATTTGTTAGCCATTTTGACTTTCTAATGTTAGGACACCTGATGTAAGATAATAGAAACTCTGTGGCTTTTAGCATTTATAATGTTGTCCTAAACATCCAAAAGGATGTTTAATGGTAATGCAAATCATGAGTATTTAAAGATATTGATGCAGAACATTTTCCTAAGTTTTAAAGTTCTCCACATGCTCTGTGTTTAAACCTGTATAATTACTACCATACATGTTTAGTCCTGAAACAAAATGTGTTGTTAGGAGAGGATGGGAGCCCAAATTTCTGATCGATAAATGTCAGGTATTACAACATAAGGCATTTGAAATATTGAGCAGTGTTTGTTTGGTTTTTTTTTTTTTTTGTAACTGCTTTGACGCTTTACTTTGTGCATACGTTGTATTGAAAATTTGATAATGTGTTAGGAAACCATCTGAATAACCTCCCTGTTTCCAGAGGAAATTTATAGAATGCGTAGTAATTTCTTACCATTTTTCTATTTGTCTTGTTGCTCCTGTTCATATAGTTGCTGCATAGTTTCAGTGAATAAAATCTAATGAACATATTAAATGATGTTCATTGGAACCTAATGTGCTGGCAAAACTGGAAAAGTAAATTATTCTGATGACCTCTAAAACTTCTCTAAAATATTCAGGGAATACTGCATGCTGCCCTATATGGCAGTGCTGTTCATATGGGATTATTATTTTCTTCAGAAATCCTATCATTTGTTTTTCATTGAAGGGCATATTTCATTCCCACTTAGTATTTTCCAAACCATACATGTTCATTAAACATGTTCTGTAGGGTATTTTTTAGTCATGTCTTTGCATTTAACCATGTATTAGAGGTACTTTTTTACCTTCTGAAACTTCAGAAAATTTCTTAAGGTCAAGTGTCTGAAATCTTACACTTGTCTTGGGCTTAAAGAAACCTCTCTAAGGATTGGATAAATCTCCTCTCAGGGAGACATAGCACAGGATTGGAACTGCTTTTCAAGGGAAGGTTTACTTGGGATTTTGTCAGGTGTGAGAAATTACCAACTTCACAATTTATCTGTGGTTTTGTTTGTGTTCTTTTTAAAAACATAGTTTAGACTTCTTAGAAGGGTGGTCTGTAGAAGTGTTAAAAATGTTATAGGCAGAATGCTGTGGCACATAAAGTATCTTGTGTCTATGGTGTTTGAGTTAAAAGCCAGAAGGAATAATGTCTTTTTTTTTTTTAATTACATAGGCAATTAAATTGGAATACACACGTCTGCTAAAATTAGCCCAGGAAGATCCACCACCTGAATGTGATTATCGTTTGCGTCATGCAATTGTTTACTTCATCCAAAACCAGGCACCAAAGAAGATAATTGAGAGGACATTACTGGAGCAGTTTGGAGATCACAATCTCAGCTTTGATGAAAGGTAATAAGATCTGCACATCTCATTTCCTGTGTTCATGAATGTTCTCTGATGTGTGGAAACACCCCTTCATATTTGGCTGGTGTGTTTGGCTTTATCTCCTAGTTAATAGCTTGCACGCTTACATTGTAAAACAGATTATAAAAATCCCTGTTAAAAGAGCAATCAAGAAGTTGAGTTTCTGCTCATCTAAAATAAGTAGAAATGTTCAGTGTTGTTCATAATTTTGCACATAGATTTCTGTACCTTTTTTCACTGTGTTTTCTCACTGCCCTGAAAGCCAGCATTAGAAAGCAAAGCTTTTCCAGCTGGGTGAGTGACTGACTCGAGAGCAAGACAATGTCTCTCTTCCACTCAAAATTCTATCTACTTACTTATATAAATGTGTAAATTAAAAGTTAGAAAACAGTCTGATTTCTGTGTAGAAAATGATCTTCTAAACTTCTGCAAAGTAATTGTCAGGGAGTTTCAAGCTATTTGAAATTTAAAATTGAAAGAAAGACTAAGCAATGTGGCAATCTAGTGAAATAAAAGAAATAATCCTTTAAATAGCACAGGCCTCCATCATACATACTTCAAAAGTGTGCCCTCTCCTGCTGATTATACTATGCGTAATAAAATGTACATTTTCCAAGGCATTTTCATACTGGTTTGCATAAGGCTGTAGCTCATACTGTTTGAGGCTCCTGTCTTTGTAAGGATAATACCCTCTGTAATTTCCCAGTAATATTTCATGATTTTTTTTTGCTTTTTTAAGGTGTCGTAATATAATGAAGGTTGCTCAAGCCAAACTTGAAATGATAAAGCCAGATGAAGTAAACATGGAGGAATATGAGGTCAGTATTTCTTATGCTTTAAATTAAGTTCTAATGTGAAATAGGTATCAGTAAAGCTGAATTTTGTCTTCACAAATTTCTTCTCATCTCAGACTGAGAAATTAAAACTGCCTATTTATTTAAAGCCCGTGTTTGTCTAAAGGTTGTTTTTGAGTTAAAGCTGTTTTTTGTCACATTTGTAATTCCAGTGTTTGAGCCATTAATAAGTGTCAGGTTGGAATCTGTCTGTGCTTTGTTAAGGAGTCTTGACGTCACTAACAATATTTTGTAATTTATCACCACATGTGCCACATGGCTTTTTCTAGGCAGCTGGCAAGGAAGGAGGAGAGTGGTCTGTGCCCAGCCTTGCTCATCTTGAGAGCTGCATAGCAGGCACAGTCCCATTTGTGCTTCTCCTCCAGCTATCTCTGCAGCTATTCCCATTTTCTTATAAGCAGGAGATTCTTTGCTTTGCTGAGACCATGCATAACCAGCTTATGCATTTAATTCTTCCTCCTGTGTTGTTTACAAAAACTTGGAAGGAAAGTGAGAGTGAATCTTCAACATAAAATAATCATGACTAATAGTTGCTAAAATAATTAATCTCACATTTAAAGCTAAGCCTGTAGCTGATTTTCCAGCATCAGTTTCAAGTCTGAGTAATACTGTTCATTAAGACCTCTTAAGAGTGGATATTTATTCACAGGCAGATTCCAGTGCACCACTTATACCTCCTTGTTGTGTTAGTAGGTTCAACTTGATCAGGAGGGTAATGGGAATAATCTTTCCCTCACAGATACAATGAAAAATATTTTAATTTCCACTTCTTATTACCAAGTTTATGACACTGCATTAGAGTGTGCCACCCTAGTCACTTGATAGGGAGGGACCCTCAGAGTAGCTTTTTAATTACATTTTCTTGGCTCAGCATTTTTTACCATTTTCTGAATGATGCTGCACAGAGAGAACAAATAATTCTGGACTCTGCTCTGAAAAATGCCCCCTTTTTAGCTCCTGTAATAGGTAGTTGGGGCTTTCTTCATAGGTTGTGTCAGTCTGCTATAGCGAGTTGGCATTTTATGGATGCTTTCTCAAGCTCTTTCTGTTGAATCCACTAGTAGCTGTGTCTTATGGTATGCTGTCCCCTGTTTTTAGCTTTAATGGAAAATTGAAAGTCAGAGGGAGGGAGGGAGGAACCCTCTTTCTCACCTGGAGCATTTACCTGTAAAGTGAACCAGGAGTCACTTGGTATAAATCATGATGCAGCAGCGTCTCATCAAAGTTGTATTTGGGTTTTTTTTAGCACTTCCCACGTAAAGTGTTCAGGCTTTTTCTATGTCATTCTTGTATTGAAAATTACGCTTAATATCTGGCATATGAAAAAAATTTTCCAACACTTCCTGAGTAACGTAGGGAAGGAAAAACCAGATGATGTATAATTTTACCTGTGGTTCTTCAGAGATGCTTTGTCTTCCTTTCAATTGGTAATAGATTCTGTAAGAACAATCTCATCTAGAAATGTTTAAGACATTTAAGAATTTTCTTTTTATTGAGGGAGGGTGGATTCTGGTGGACTTTACTCATATGCAATCTACTGCCATCCTTGGTACTTACTGTAACTGTTGGATACTAAATTTAACTGAAGGGGGGTTTGTGTTTAAAAAAAAAAATTATATTTCATTTTTGTGGATGAAGTTCTATTTACCCTTTCTTACATGCAGAGATGGCATCAAGACTATAGACATTTCAGGGAAACAACCATGTTTCTCATGGTAGGATTGGAGTTTTTCCAAAAAAAGAGGTAAGTGGTAGTATAGAACTCAAATGTGGTAGAATGATGTGAAGGCAAAATGTAATATTGAAGCTGTTTTCTAAATTAAGAAATGCTTAATGTATTCTTCATTTCAGATATGCATTTATTCAGTCTGCTAATGTCTTCAATTTTGCATCTTCCTATTCTTAATTTCCATTTCCTTATCGAGCCATGGGTTCTTTTCAGAGCACTTTCCACATATCCCCCTATTCTTCCTTCTCTTCTATTCTTAAGTGCTCTAGGTGTCTCTCAGCCATAAAAATCCTCCTTCTCTGGCACCATCTGTGCACATACATTTATCTGCTTTCATCAGCAGACAGAATTAGTGAAGTCTGTGTCTTTCCTGCTTTTTGCCCAAGTCTTCCCAGTGAAATAGCTTTACCTTCTCCACTAGCCTCAGCCAAAACTCCACTTTAAAGGTCAGAAAAACAGAACATATTTGAGAAAAACTGTAATGCATAGCTCTAATAGTTGTAGCTGATTGTCCTTAACTCTATGGTGATTCATTCCCTTCTCTTTTTGAACCAAGTCAGAAATTGTGGCTGTATAAAATGGGTGGCATTTATGTACTTGATTCAAAACAGCTCATATTTATTCTGATCTACACATGCAACAAGAATGGTGATTGCAGTGTAAGTGTAGTCAATCATTGATTTTTCATGTGTAAAACAATAGGTAAGGAAATTTGTAGCAGGAGTCAAATTTAATTCTTTGTCTCTTTGTTGAGTAGTAAATTGCTCCATATTTCTCATCTTATATCTTCCCAAAAAATAAAGGTTCCAAACAATATAGAAAAATTGATTGCAAAAGACACAGCCTTGCCTTTGTGACACAATGCATCTTTTTATACAGGCTAACACTATGAGCCCAGAGTCTTGGGTTGGTTTTGGGTTACCACCATGTAATGAACAGTACATTTACTAATTATCTAAACTGAAATATGCTACACTATTAGTCTTAAACAGTTTGTGTGCAAAGGTTAGTCAGAAGATTGCCTGGCTTATGTGAAGCCTGGTGTTGCTTAATTCCTTAAAGAGGCAAAAATGTCACAGGCATTGGTGTGGTTTATAGGACCCCCTTCATGCATCCTCTAAGATTGCAGGTAAGGGTGAAACATATGCAAGTTCTTTGGCACTGGGACTCCAGAGTGGCACCTTCAATTGTTAAATACCAATGTTTTCAATATATTCCTTCTTGCCATAGTATATTCTGGTTATGCCATGGAGGAGAGAGGGAAGTACAGGTTTCTGCTATATGCTAAATGAAATTCTCCACTATGTACAATAACTTGCAGAATTAGTGAGTTGTTTGTTAGAAGGCACCTTGATAGTTTAGAAAACAAGCCTATCATCACAAATATGATAATACTTACAGTTTAATATGGATCAGAAATAAAAGGTACAATTTCAGAAGTGCTTCATGAAGTTTCTGATACAAAGATAGTAGGACTAAAGTATAGTTAGTGGATGAGTGAGATCTGTCTATCCAGTGACCTGCTCCAAAGGCATCTTGTGCAAATACATACCTGTGTTTCAGCTTCGGGTTCCCAAAGAGATTTACTGAGGTTACCACCTTGCAGCACACTTGAGAGAACAATGGAAACCAGACTAAACTGCTGATCCATGTCAGTTCATTTAACACTAAAATCATAAAAACACAACTTCAAAAATTTCATGAAAGGACAGACTTTCATAATAAAAATATGATCTTCATTAATAGGGCTGTTCTGAGGCTTTTTTCCCCTGCAAACCCACCTCTCTGTTTACAATCTTTTCTTAGCTTCAGTAACACTAAGTGATAACCTAGCAGCACTCGATGTCTTGATGGAACCAAAAGTCAACCTTTATTCAAGCAGTATTTATTTTTTTAATTGTAATGTGTTGAACAAACACAAAAATTAACATTAGTTTGGTGTATCTTTTTCATGCCTCCTTTAAGTGGTCACTTGTCATCCCTGATGGTGGGTAACAAGGTCCACTTTTCACTGCTGTGGGGCATTAAGGGGTCTTTCAGGCAGATCTCTGATTGTGATGAGGAGTGGTAACCTGCTCTGGCTGGGATGAACCCAGGCAGCTAGTGAGCCTTGGTAGGAGTTTTGCCTGCAGCTCACTCTTGTGGCAGCAACTTAAAAGTGAACAAACTGCATGCTTTACCAGTTGCCTTTTAAGTTTCTTGGATAGCTAGTACAGCTTTTCAGTTTTGACCAAAATGCCTTTTTCAAAGCAGTGCTAAAATTTTGCCATTATGTGCTTTGTGTCTTTTCCAATGCCTCAATGTAGTGAGCACCAGAATTTTGTGAGCAGCTTCAATGATTTTAGGCTTGGGCTGCACACTCTGCAACTTACGTGCAGTTCATCTGTGAGAAGGCAGAAAGCCAACCGTGTGCTGGGCTCATGCCAAGCCCCGTGGGCAGCAGGGCAGGGAGGGGATTCTGCCCCTCTGCCCCGCTCTGCTGAGACCCCACCTGCAGGGCTGCATCAGCTCTGGGCTCCAGCACAGCAAGGACAGGGACCTGCTGCAGCCAGGCCAGAGGAGCACCGAGGGGAGCAGAGGGATGGAGCACCTGCCCAGTCAAGACAGGATGAGCAAGTTGGGGCTGTTCAGCCTGAAGGAGGAGAAGGTTGCATGGAAACCTGAAAGCAACCTTTGAGTATCTGAAAGGAGCCTGCAAGAAAGGTGGAGAGAGAGGCATTTTACAAGAGTGTGGAGTGACAGGACAAGGAGGAATGGGTTCAAACTGAAGAGAGGAGGTTTGAAGAAATTCTTTACAGGATTTCAGGTGAAATGAAATTCTACAGGGTGGTGAGGCACTGGAACAGGATGCCCAGAGAAGCTGTGGCTGCCCCATCCTTGGAAGAATTCAAGACAAGTTTGGATGGGGCTTTGTGCAACCTAGTCTAGTGGAAGGTGTCCCCCTGCCCATGGCACAGGGGTTGGAACCAAATGACCTTTGACTCAGGCCACCCTATGATTCTTTGGATGTGTTTGCTAATTTTACTGTAGACCCATTGCTCAGGTCCAAGATACATAAGGAGCCTGAGCTTGGATATACAGTCGTGATAATCTAAAATAACTTACCTTGGTGTTAAATGGCACCACAGTTGTTTCAGGAAAGGGTCACACATAGGTGAGGGAAGGAGCAAGAAGAGGGTGAATGGAAATAAGGCCACTACCACCACTGAGTTTTAATTTGCATCAACAGAGCTGTTGACACTGTGGCGTCAACCTGCAGTTTCACAAATAACTGAACTAGGAACAGAAGAAGATCATCCTCCTCCTCTGGCTTTATTACCAGCAGTTTCAGTTCTTGTAATCATCTTTTCTTCCCCTGTCCACCTACATTAAATTTCCAGCTGTTTGGTCAGTTTTATTGGTGACCAGTGGTATGAAGAGTTTTCATGGCTAGGAAAAATTGACTTCAAGTAGCCTTTACCCTTATTTTTGTATTGTCTCATTGGGAGGTATGACCTTACATCTTGAGTTATTTACTTCAGAGAACTCTTGACTTGTATTCAGATATGCTCTGCATGTGCAGATATTTTTTAGCCTTTTTCAGTAGCTTGGTAGTTTGATTTTGTTACTTTCTACTTGACACATGAGCTCATACTCTCATCAGGAGGCAGTGCACAGTTTCACATTCCTTTAACCACTCCCTCAGGAAATTTCTCATCCTAGATTTTTTTTTTTTATTATTTGAGTAAAAATGAGATATCGAACTGCCTGTTTTTACGGTAGCTACTGGAACTGCTTTCAGTACTTGTCTGTCATAACTGGGTCTTTGTAAATCAGAGAATTAACCATTTCAGGTGTTCACAGGACATGATGTGCAGCAGTATGAGGGGAGATTGTTCATCTGTGCATGAAGGGATCTCTGTCAATTACTAACTGATAGGTTCTTCGGTGCTCTCTTACTCCTTCTCTACCAATTAGCCTTGCATTTGTGTTCTGCATTCTTATTAAAGACAGAAATATCAACAGTCTGACAGCACTTCTGCTGTTTAAATGCTCTGATGGTGTCTTCCATCATATTAGATTTCAAGTAACTTGGAAGAACTTTCAATTAGTGAAACTTAAAATTCACAATTTTTGTTTTAGAAATAAGTTGACAGCTTTAAATCTTACTTGCTGAGGTGTAGAATGCTAACAAGATATTCATGACAATGGAAACTCAAATCCAATGTCAGGAAAAATTAAGTTTTCATGGATACTAAAGGCCAATCTAAAGTTGTTTTTGAAGTGAATGAAATGATACCCATTGGTTTCTGTGAGCTTTAGATCAGATATCATGTGTCATGACCTAATCTAATAATTTTAGTGTTTGTAAAAAACAAAATTGTACAGTTTAAAAAAAAAATAATGAAGAGATTGGTGGGAAGGGGTGGACTTGCCATCCAGCAAGTGGAGGTACCTGTCCTTGGAGGAACACAGTAGTTACCTTGAAGCAGGTGGTACCTGGATGTTGCACCTAATGCTTTTGTTTCTTCACTTCAGTTACATGGAAGCCTTGCTCTACCTTATCTATGCTTACCAGAATAACAAAGAACTCTTGTCCAAAGGCCCATACAGAGGGCACGACGAAGAGCTGATATCTCACTACAGACGAGAGTGTTTGCTAGTAAGTGAAGGGGGAACTATGTCTCAAAATGCTGAGTTTGCTGTGTAGCTGGAATAAAATTGATTAATAGAAAAGTGTTGCCATCATGTACAACAAACCTCCCTGCATTACTAATTTAATACTGAGGCTGTAAGAAGAAAAAAAAGCAAAAGTAAAAGAATAAAACATTCCCCCCCCCCCCCCCCCCCCGACTCCTATTTTTCCTATTTTTTGCGACTAGCCAATAATTTTCTTATTATTATAGTGAGCTCACTGTTGTCATGTCTGGGCTAGGTGGAAGCAGTGGTTGACTGTGTTGGTGAGCAGACTCACCCTGCTGCCATGGTTTGATGAGGAGACAAATATTGGCAAAGGCATCAGCAATGATGCCTTGCCTGAAACAAGGAATTTTTTCCTTGTTACGTCACTTTTAACAATAGTGATAAAATAAAGGCAGGTGATAGAATCTCAGTCTTAACAACACAGCTGCAAAATTGGAGTTGGCAGGTATGAAATGAAGTGACTTGAGGAATAGTACAAGTTCAAGAGGATTAGTACAGCATATGCATAATGGAGTAAATGTTAAAATACAGCTGTGGCTAATACAAACTGCCAGGTAATTCCGTAGGAAGACTGTGCTTTAAAACAAACTGATAATGATGCATGGTAGGCTGTGAAATGCTGTATACTTAAAGACTTTCCTTTTTTGTGATGGTTTCTGAAGAAACTAAATGAACATGCTGCAGCACTCTTTGAATCGGGAGACGATCAGGAAGTAAATAATGGCCTGATCATAATGAACGAGCTTATTGTCCCCTGTTTGCCATTACTACTGGTGGATGAAATGGAAGAGAAAGATATTGTTGCTGTGGAAGATATGAGGAACCGTTGGTGTTCCTATCTTGGACAAGAAATGGAACGTAAGTCATTTATTATTAAGGTAAAAGGTCCTTGTGCACCTTTTTCATAAATATGATGTTTTCAATATCTGGAATTAAACCTGTATCTTTTGTGCCTTGGTAATGTTTTTGAGCTACCCTGACTTTTGAATAGTTCTGTACACATTTAAATAAAAGATTTTTCCATATGTTGCACTGGGGTAGCAGGCTGTAAAGGAAACATGTTTTTTAAATGGGAAAACATTTGTGGTGTTAGAGTATGTAAAGAGGAATTTATATTAACACCTTACCAGGAATTTGTTTGTCCTAGTTATTGCTTGATAGATCTAAAGAATCTGAATTATTCCAAGTGAAACTCCTCCTCTTCTACACACTAATTTAAAAAAAAGTCAGCATTGGGCAGAAAAAGGACAATTTTACATGCGGACGTAAATGCTTATATTTGTTTTTCTGGTTTGATTTGCAGCCAACTTGCAAGAAAAACTGACAGATTTCCTGCCAAAACTGCTAGATTGTTCTACAGAGATTAAAGGTTTCAATGACCCGCCAAAGTTACCCTCCTACTCCACACATGAACTGTGTGAAAGATACGCCCGAATCATGTTGTCACTCAGTCGAACTCCAGCCGATGGAAGATAAATTCTGCAGACCTTCCTAAGCACATTGTATAAACTTCTTTAGTTCTTAAACCTTGCCTTCCTGTCACAGGGTTTGCTTGTTGCTGCTATAGTTTCTAACTTTTTTATTTTAATAACTGCAAAAGAGAAATGACTGTACAAACTTTAGCCAGACTGCAAACGATTAAAGCTGAGAATCGCATGGCGCTCGGTCGTTTCAACCAGAATTGATGCAACATGCAAGTCTGATCATTATGGCAAAACTGCTTTTTTGCCATTTATCTGTTACAGTATTACTTTGCTTTTATCTTAAGATCCTTTACTTTATCAACAGCTGTCTGGATCATTTTGTGACTGCAACTACTTTAAGTGTCCAGTGCTGTGTAAATACATGGTACTTGGTAGCTTGTAAATGAAAAGAAAGAATAAAGTTTTATTTATGGCTACTTCTGTGTTTGCAAGCAGATACCTTGTATATTATTGTAAAATACGGGTATTTTTAGAAGAGATACAGTATATTGATGGGTTACTCAATTTTTTAGACGAGGTTCTTTAGGATTTATGGCCAGTTTCCTTTCAGGTACTCAGAGATTACTGTATGTGAATATATTGAAAAACTGTCACAATATTATCCACAATGGTGTTTTGTATATTCTTCACTGGTCTGTTTATACTGCACCTGAGCACTTTAGTGTGCATGTGAATGGCCATGCCAAGTCTTTTCTAATGATAGGGACTGGCTTCTGAAGCAAAACAATAATGGCACCTTCCTTCTATTCTTAAGAAAAACAAAGTAAAAAAATCAAAATATTTTCAGTATAAATATATTACACCCTCTAAACAAAAGTTCTAAAAATTTATGTAAGTAAATAAAGATTTTAAGAAACTGAATTTATGAAGCTTAAGGATTAATCAATTTTTAATTGGTATTTGAGTCATGTAAGTGACTAGAAATAAAATCTTAATTTTAATTCTTTGCTTGAAATGGGTTGCTACTGTTGCAACACAATATCTCAAAAATCTTTTATCTGTCCTAATTAAATTTCTATTCAAAGTAAAAGAACATATCTATTGGGCTTGTTTTGTAGAACTGAAATACTGTCTGGTTTTAATGAAGAATCTTAATTATTTTGTGGAAAAAGAGATTTAATGCGTCCTTAGGCAATCCTGTTACCTGACACTATTTTGATTCCTTCTCTTTTTAGAGAATGCTTTGTGTTAGATCAGTAAAATATGTGAATATTTATTTGTATGTTTTTATTGGAGCGACACAACTTTTCCTTACAGGTTTTCAAATGGTGTTTGAATATCTGCTAATAAAAAGCCACAGAGGGAAGGGAAGGAGTGCTGAAGTTCCGACCACCTAGAAATGCAGTGGGCAGAAATGTGGGCATCTCATATGCAAGAGGCAGCAGAGTTCAATCTTAGCACGTATCAGTCTGAGAATTTGTTGACTCTGGAGAGACACTGGATCACAATGTACAAGGAATAGAATAGTGGCCTTCAATTCAAAATCTGTTCAGGGCTGTTCTCCACTCCTCTTTTCCGTATTGCAGTGCTTCATGCTTTTTCAAACCACCCATTTATTTTATCAAATTATTTTTTTAAAAAAAGAATATTGACATTTTAGAATTGAAATACTGCAAAGGAGAATTATTTTAGGTCTGAGACTGTTGATGTGTGGGACATCCCTCTTAAAGAAAAAAGGTATGCTTACTGTGAAGTGGGAGAGGATAGATTTTAAAAGCTTTTACATTTTGCACCTGTTCCACTTGGATTTGAAACTCAAGAATATGCCTACTTAGCACTGTATTTTTAAACAAGGTTTTGAACAGATCAGGCTTCCTACTTTTTTAATAATAGTAAAAAGAATTAGATGTGAAAGAGCAACTTTATTTCATTATGGCTAACAGATTTTGAGTTTGAGCATTTGTGGAAGCTTTTAAGGAAAGCTCCCCTTTACCCCAAAGGAGCCAGTTACCCTCATCTGTTTAATCTTTCACAGAAAACACATGGGGAAAGGCTCTCTTTCTAATGTGAAAAAGATTTTTAAATAAAAGGAAGAAGGGAAGGATGAGACTTGGTTTTTGTTTTGGAATTTTTTTTATTCAGTTTATAAAAATATGAAAATAATCCATTGAAGTTCATAGTAGTGAAGATAAATATGTATCCCTTTGCAAAGACAAAATTTTGAGTTGAATTGAGAAGGTAGAAGAGCAGAAATAAATATATATGTATTTTGCTATTTTAATATATTTTTAATATCTTAATTTAAACCTTCAGTGGAATAATTAGTGATTACATTAATGTGAAATCACTAATGGTTACATTAACTTTGTCTTAAAAGCCATGCTTTTCTCACTGCAGTAAGGCAGTTGATAGCTTGGATTCACAATGCCCAGCACAAAAAACCTCTACAAGTAACTGTAAGGTAGTAAAGCATACAGTCCATTTGGCTACCTGATAATCTGTGGCTGAATTGTGTAAGGAGGTATGGAATCTTCAGATGGGGATTATGAAGGGTTTTATCAGAGGTTTTTCTTACTTAATAGAACAGAAAGAATAAGGAAATTTAACCAAAATTGATTTATAAAATAATCTGTACCATCAAATGAAAGCTGAGGGGGTTTCCAGATGTTGCTTCATAGTGAGAAAAAGCCTGAAAATACCCTTTTTCAGTTTATTGCCCTTTTTTTAATCTCTCCCAAACATATATCTTCATTTTAGCTGCCTGATCCTATTGTTTTACTTGAAGTAATATTTTGGTAGTATCAAAATTGTAGTTGTTTCTAGTTCAAGCTACCACAGCAGGTCTGTCAGTCTCAGCCTAACAGAAAACCATGAGCAGCAGGAGAATTGAGCTGAACAAATGAAGATAATGGGTGGATGGAGTCAGTTTGTACTTCTTAGATGTGGGATATTTGGAATCACACCAGACACCAAGAACTTGACCTTTGCTAGTGAGTCAGTGTTGCTTTTTGGGCAGTCTCTGCTTTACTGCAGGGAACAGGTTTGCTCCAGAAAACCTGAAGTATGAGCAGAGCCAAAAGCACATGCTTTGTGTTCAACCATGAACATACCAAAATTTCATAATATCTGCATTAAGTATCTTTCAGGTTATTTTTAGGCTACTCCTGTGAAGATTGCAGCTCCCAAAAGGAACTGGACACCACCAGTAGCACACAGGAGACAGCTGGATACTGTCCAACAAACATAAAGGTTCATAAAGGGAGACAATGGTTGCTGCCCATATTCATCATTTTGTCACGTTCCCTTCTCTCAATCTCCAGTGACTCCAGATGTCTGTGGGAGGCCTTATATAAGCACAAGGTAAAGAATTTTGATGGAACAATGTACCACTCTAGGTCTGCAATGAGTCACCTCATCTGTGCAGCATTTTTCAACATAAACGTGTGCTTTTAAAAAAATGTATATTCTAGGTTTGAGCCTATAAGAATGCAAGAAAAGCAAGTATCAGTCTTGGCAATGAGAGGAAAGTGGTTTCATCTTTCCATTTTTCCTTTTTAGAGAGGACAATAACAGAGAGATGAAAATATTCTTATTTAAAGAGGTCTTTTAGCAAAATGCAATAGAGGTAGAAGTCCAAAGAGGAGTGATTCAAGTGAAACAATTATTTTTCGTGTGCTTGCGATCCAGTTTTTATGTACTGTGTCCATGAAGATCTTTTGAGGTCATGGATAAGTTATTAACTGCAAACATTTTAACTCCTAAAGAACATTTTCTTTGTAGGGAAGAATCAGCAGAACATTCCTGCTTGGTTCAGCATTTCTAGTTCAGTTCTGATTATGTGGGAGCAAACTTTTGCAGACATGTCTCTTGCTGCCATAGACACATGTGCTCCAGCTTTGTTGTTATGCCCTTAAAACCTTGGACTTGGCTATGGAATGTTCTCAATTACAAATTTCAGATCTTTGCAGTAAATAGCAGGAAAGGACTTATGCTTCTCAAAAACTGTTTGAGGTAGCTCTTTGAAAGAACAGCTTGGTTTGCTTTCTGGTGGTTGGGATCAACTCATATCCCCTTCTCACAGGCTGGGAAAGGCTTGTTTTCAGGATGATGGTCACAGGATGGATTCATCATGATTGGTAAAATAGGGTTATTCTTCATCGCTCTCTTCACATCTAAACTGAAGTACCTCTTGAATAAAGTTTGGGCTCCATGATTCATGCTTTCACTTTTTATTTCCCCTTCTCCTGTTGTTCCCCAGTGAAGGTCATGTAAATATTGACTTTTCAGGCTTTGTAGTTGGTTGAGTCTCTGATTCACCATCAGCTTGAACTGTACCTTCACCACCAGGATTCCTCTGCTTCCATCTTCAGTTTCTGTCTTGCTTTTCCTGGAAAGGCCTGGGCAGGATCTGCAGGTCATATAACACCATCCACATGCATACTGTCTGGCAGCTCAGCATCTGAGAGCCTGAAAGAGGGAAGTTATGGATAGTTAGCCAAAGCTAACTAAACTGAAGAGTTTTTCTGTACCATGTCTTGGCATATCAAGAGAAAAAAAGAGAAAAGGAAATAATTAGTCAGAGCCTAACTTAACTGATCACTAAAGGAGTGTGAGTGGTGTCTTGTGCTCTGTATCTTAGCACTACCCTGGTTTATGAAGGTCATAGAGGCTGTTCCTCTTCTGTAGTAGCTTTCATTTTATCCTGATCTTTATACGTTGTCTTGAATTATTCAAACATAACTTCTGGCAAAAAGCAGCTTTTCCTGCTCTCCTGATTTCAGTCAGTCCTTACCCATGTCTGTGTTCTGTGTCTGGGTGTTGCCTATCAGTGTTCAGGAATATATCTGCTTTGTTACCTGTGTTGAAGTTCCCTGGACTCATTTGTATTTTGTGCACATACAGACAAAAGGGGAAGGGCACTAATTCCTGTACATATCCTTCAAGGAACAAAATTTGCATGTTGTCTGTGACCTTTAATCTGTAACAGTAAAACTTTCAATTGAATGTGGACTAAGGGCTTGGGAAACCTATGGGAGTTTGGGGAAGGGTTGCTTTTTTAAAAAATTGATAATACAGTATCATGAGTGGAGGGAACAACTGTATAAACATAGTAAATTTTATGTGGATTAGGAAAAAAAATAATTAGTTCAAATAATGTTTTGAGCAAGTTTTTAGTTTTGAGCAAGAAGTAAGTGTTATATAATGCAATTTGAAGAAAACCTCCTGTGTTCTTAGGGAAGCAGTTGGAGTGTTTGGCTTTGGCTTTTGTAAGGAACCTTGATTGGTGAAGCTGAAAAATTTCTAGCTTTTAATAGCTCAAGGTAATACATTCTTGTAATTTTTTTTTGGTCTGGAAAGTAAAAAAAAGAAAAAAAAAAAAAAAA